GATACGATCTGGACTTTAGAGAGTTGCCAACAAAACAATGTAACAACTTTTAGTAATGTGACGTCTTATTGGTTTCTTTTTGTTCGGGTAAAGAGCCCAAATGTGACACCTTTCCCTGTGAAGCTTCTACTTGAGGTGCATTTTTAAAGAGTTTCACATTGAGGCACAGCAGAACAAAGAAACTCTGGGCCCTTTGATATCTGTATTTAAAAAAAGATTTTTATTTCCAAGCAAGAGCCATTCAATCCACGACAAATCCCATTTACTTGAAAAGTCAAATCTCGGCGCTAAAGGCTTACAGGGCGAGCTTGAAACGAGGAACGCTGTCTGCGTACATCTGCGTTAAACCCCCCAGTTTTTATCTTTTTGTCCCCTTCAGCTCCTTTAACGCCACTTTTTCCAGTGAAAGCTGCTGTCAATCACCCTCAGAATTAAAAAAAGCTAATCATCTCTTTGCAGTGGGAGACGCACCTTCAGTGGGTTTTTGTGGAAAAGGATCAAACAGGCTGCTGAGCACTTTGTGTCCCGCGGCCGGATTCAGGGGAATCTAGTGTGTCACAGGGCAGCGTTTCAGCTCAGTGAATATCAATCACAGACACACACTCCACATATGTGTGTCTGCATCGCCCCGATGCAGTATTCACAGTGGCATTGAATCGTAGGGAGTGAGTCATCCCTGGAGGTATTGTTCTGTTGGCCAATCAAAGCGATGGATGGATGTCCGGTGTTTAGAGTCTCCCTCTGTGCGGCATGCGAAGCAGGAAAATGTGTGTTGCAGGAGGTCGTGGTGCAGCTTGCTCAATTGTTTTCAGTTTCTGTTACTCTCAGCTTGACAGTAAATTTCCATTCCTGTCCTCTGAAACCCAGAAAACTCAAGACGGCTTCACACGAGTACGTTTCTACAAAGACTGGCTCCCAATCACCAGGAAACCTACTCTATAATATCCTGATGATAATGTAAGCAGAGCTTTTCCAGTTTACAGTGAAACAGTTTTAAATATGATGACATGAATGAGTCTTTGTGACGATGTTAGACTGAAACGCAGACTCGAGTGTGGCTGCTATTGTGTCTACTTTTAGACTTCTCACTCAGCCATTGTCTTCTCAAAGTGAAAGACGATGGTAACTTCCTCGCTTGAGAGACTGTGAGAAATACGCACGGCGTGTTATTTGAAGAACATCAGAGGAGGATTGGCACTCCTGCGTGATGCACGGGGCAAACTGAAGTCAGGGCTCGGTTTGCTTGGTTTGTGTTGTTTTGTTGCTTGTCTGCAGAAACGTTCCTCTCATTAGAGAAAACGTATCCGGTTACATCTTTTGTTTTTTATATAAAAAGTGAATGATAATGGAAAATAATAATTAATATATGGACTTCAGAGAGGTTTTAAACAGTTCTCAGCACGGTCCCTGCAGACCAGGCCGCACTGCTTCACACTGCTCACCATCACACACATTTATTCACAGCCCTCGCTGTTAATTCACTGTGTTGTAGTTTTCTAAACTCAGGTCGCCAGCCTGGCGTTTACAATGACTCGCAGCCGAAGAAGAAATAAAGTGTTTATTAGGATAATAGTGGGGAAATGTCCCGTAAGCCTAATGACAGAGGCACAGCTGATCCTATAGGACTCGTTTACGTTGTTTTGCAGTGTTCGGTTCACAGATAGATGTAATGTCTTCACTGTCAATGATCACAATTACGCCCCAGCAGTCATCACTGTAATTATCACCATCAATATGTCCAACAAATGCAGTAAACAGTGCTGCGAGTGCTGCCGGGTTGTACTGCTTATACGCGACATGTCTCTGTAGTCAGAGCTGCCCTGTGAGCGCGGTCCGCTGCGGTGGAAGCATCTATGGTGTGTCGGAGTCTTAGGCTTTCCTGCTGTGAGTTTGTCTTGTGTTTGGAGGTGGTTATGGAGATCGCACAAACATGTGGAGCTGCGATGTTACACTACTTTAAATCAAAGCGCGTTCGGCTCAGGAATGCTGGGCTTCTCAGGAGTGGGCAGCGAGGTTTATATGCTTCATATTCAAGAGTTTACTTTACGTCAATCAGGCTTTTCCTGTTATCATGCCCGACGGGGCCATTTAAGGTGCTTGACCACAAAATGAGATATAAGATATGAATAATTGCATTTTTCCTATTAAGGTTACATCTCTGCGTGTTTGCCTGAAGAGCTGCAGAGTTCTGGGAGGGACGTTGTTGTCTGTGGAGACTTATTGTTAGTGTTGGTTTGTCCGTCCTACAAGCTCTTGAAATAGACTGAAAGCATTTGTTTTCTTGTCACTTCTTACTAATCACGCCAAACACATCTGAGATTTAGTGCTTCAAACACGTACAGATAACAATAATGTCATTGTGATACCACAGTAAATGTCTGAGCATTTAACCGCGCTCTGTGCGACGTGTCATATTTAGGCCTGTTTGGGAGCGCCTGTAGCACGACTGTCGTACTCTTTTATAGACAATCTTTGTAGTGATAAGGAATTTCCTGCAGCACCAAAGGTTGCACATGATATCAGTGTGAACCTGGTCTTCGGGGTCAGCATGTGTTCTTATGCCAGCCTGTAACTAATGTGTAACACTGACAAGAAAAGACTGTCGTGATCCTTATCAGGAGACATCTGTCATTGTAAACAAAGCTACATTATTAATATGTGAGTCTCTTTGAAGATCTGATGGATAAATAAGGTCAAAGAGAACAAGAACAAGATCTCCAGATCTGAATCTTCAGCAGGATTATCAGTGCTGACTCTGACTTCACTGAATTTAATAAGAGAACATGCAGAAAGCATCTGAGTGTACCTTTGTTTTTCTTACAATAAACAACCTGACAACATCCCCTACGCCTCGTGTCAAGAAACAAAGTAATCCATTTGTAGCTGAAGTGTAACTGTTATTTATCATCTTATTATTTTCTTTCAGAGTTCAAACGGGTTCAGGAGAAAGCGCGTTCCTGGCAGGCGCGGCGTTCTCGCTCGGTTGGGCGCAGCCCTTCACGTCTCAAAACTAAAAACAGTATTTCACATATTTGTTCTGTTTTTGCCAAGTTTGGCACCGAGGCTGTTTTTTCTCCACAGCATCTTCTTCATTTTAACACCAAAGCTGACGTTACATCAAAGACTTTTGCACAAAGGATTTATGTGTCTCACTCTAAAAGCAAAAAGGCTGCGAGCAAACTGTTATTACCCGACTTAACTCACATGTGCTGGTACTGCTAAAAGGTGAAAATGAGCCGAGGAAAATAGCACAACTTATCAGCAAATTACATAAAATAAGATCTGAGCCTGTGCGGTCCGGTTGATGACCTGAACTAAGTCAGCTGAAGATGTGAGGATGTGTTTGTAACAGCAAGAGTAATGATCTCTGTCCCCACGAGGAGCAGCTGCTGCTGGTTGATTATGGACCTGTCCCAACTTATCTCCAGTATGCACAGCAGAACCAGTGTGTGTGTGTGTGTGTGTGTGTGTGTGTGTGTGTGTGTGTGTGTGTGTGTGTGTGTGTGTGTGTGTGTGTGTGTGTGTGCTGTGGCTGCAGGGTGAGCTGGCAGAGCTCTTTTAGAGACCTGGACCTGCAGGGAGGAGTCATCAGAGTCATGACACAACAGGCCTGTGGTCGGTGATGGAGGCGACAGAGAGGGAAAGAAACCCGGGCGAGAAGAGGGAGAGTAGCGACGCTGAGAGGTGGAGATGTGAGGCACTCGTTAGGAACTCGCCCAGCTCCAGTAAAAACGTCATTAATATTAGTGAAATTAAATTAGAATTAGACTTTAGATCATTTCCCTGTCTCAGGTTAGATTGTTCTTCCCCAAAAATAACAGCAGAGTCGCACCGGACGAATGTTCACATGTAGATTTTCTATAAAGTGATGACGCACTTTTCATTTACATAACACGCGTGTTAAGCTGTAACACCAATAACACGGCTCTTACTTTTAATCCCAAAAATTCATATTTCACATATGAACTTCATATGTTTTCAGTCAGATGTGGTGAACCTATCAGGATGCAGCTTCGCTACCTGCCCAGTTGTTGCATGTACATACCTGCAGCATCATTATGTAAAACCACAGCTTTTGCCTCAAAATAGGGTTTTTATCCTTTTGCTTTTTTTTTATCAGACTACGATATCACATGTCCAAAACTACAGTTATGCTTTAATCTGATTACTGTCCCTCATCCCGCTGGCTGGCCTCAGCAGCTGTGGGACAGCGATGCCTGTATCTTATATAACACCCCCCTCCTCGCTTTCCTCTCTCAGCTCCTCTGAACGTTTATGCTGATGATGTGTCAAAACACTCCCGCCTGCCTCCCCATCTCCTCCCGCTGCTGTCAAGAGTAACATCGCTGCCCTTTCTCCTTCGCAAAGACACCAAACTCAGTTTGAAAGCTTTAAAAATTCTGCTGTGTTTGGGTTCGCCCGCCTCATAAATACTGACGAAGAGCCTGCAAGGGCTGAGCGGTCGTGCAGTCAGCAGTGGGGCAATTAGGGAAGCACATTTTGGAGCACAAAGTTTCCTTGTAAGAAATTAAGATGGAGGAATTATTTATGGCTGCACAGCCACCGAGCTTCTCAAGGGTCAGATATTGCTGTGAATTGTCCTACATCTGGTTAGTTCCCACTGTCATTCTTTCTTTTCTCCACAGCCTTTTTAATCGGTCTGAGCTCGTAACATTTGCCACATGTCATCCTGATTTTCTCTCCTTCAGGGCTACCTTATTTGACTACATCACAAACTGCGCTTCTCTGACCTGCTACGTTAGCTTAATGCAAGTTATCTCTGACATCTACCCACGTGTTATCGTATCTATGTGATATTCTCGTGAGGTGACGTGTAACAGGGGCGTGTCTCTGGCTGACTTCTATCAGACACTTGATCTGGACGGGTCTCGACTTAATCAGAGCTGAAGCAGTGTGACATAAAGCAGCAGTCCGCTCATGCAGTAAATGAGTATCGAAGTCAGTGACCGTCATTTTCTGTTTCTCTTCTCTTTCCGCAGTTTTCATCTGTAGCTTCATGGTGGCAGCTCCCATCTTTGGTTACCTGGGCGACCGCTTCAACAGAAAGGTCATCCTGAGCTGTGGCATTTTCTTCTGGTCCATTGTTACCCTGTTGAGCTCCTTCATCAGTAAAGAGGTACGGCTCTGAGAAACCACACAGCGCTCGCAGCACTGCAGCTCCACTGTCAGTGTGTTGGTTCCCCTCATAGACAAGGTTATTATTCTGTAATGATCTGGATATGCTCGAAGTTAAGGCAAGCAAAATGTAATGACATGCTTATTAAGTCAGATACCCGCTCTGCCTTTGTAGACATGCTCTGCCTGCGCCCTCTCTCTGGCTAGCAGCCAGCTAATGAAGGCCTCGCGCTTGTCTCGGTTACAATGGTTTGGAAGATAAAACTCATTTCGCTGATCTTTTACAAGCAGATTTAGACTGTGTGTCTCTAAGAACCTCTGTGTGCGAGGAGATGCCGGGTGCTTTAAACGGCCACATCATTCATTCGTGGAGGCCATAAAATGGGGGAAGGGGCGTCCCGCTGAGAGTCGACATCATATTAGAGTAAAAGGCTCGGCTCACGGACGTCTGCGTGGGGGCGTCGACGGGCTCGTGGTGCCTTCTTGACACGACGGTTGTAATGAAAATCTGACAAAGTGACTGAAATATGTGCCTTCAAAGCTGTGTTAGTCAAATTTATGGAGCATGCAGAGCATCATCACGCTGCAGTGTCTCCAGCAAGTAAACCGCGAGCGGAGCGACAGCTCGGCTCAGGTCTCAGGAGCCTGTCCTCTGTCCTCTGTCCTCTGTCCTCGACTCGACTGCTGCGCCTAAGCAGCAAATACATCGAGGCCACTTATAGATAAGTTGAAGTTAAGGAGCTCTGACGAATCCCACAAAGGCCGCTGATGGCTCACGTCCTTTGTCTCCAACTGTGACTCCACCCTTAAGACATGTTCCTGAGCGTGCCGATCAAACGAGACATGATGGCTGTTATATAATAGCTGTGGCACTGTCACCAGGAGAGATGAAAGACACGACACGCAATGAAATGCTAACGAGTGCTTACAACAGACTCCTGTCGTGATGCATTTGAGGCGCTCTGGGGCGTTTGGAAGGACTCGCAGGAGATGCAGGATGCAGATCTTACATAAGAGAAATTCACCACAAAGTGAAACTTCATACTTTTTCCTCATGACCACAAGATTATGTCATAAAGTGATCACTTGTGCTTCTTTATTTTAACATGTTGAAGCATATTACTCGCTGCTCCTTACTATACGCCAGAAAGACAGCACATTGTGCTGCAGCTTGTCTGCCTCTGGTAGGCTTTATATGTTATATTTCCAGGACTGTCCCTGTTTATACCTTAGTTTAGTAGAAAGCATCGCTCAGCTCACTCAGCGTCACCTCGTTTGTGTCGAGGGTGTGAGACGAGGACATCGAGATCTTTTGTTGGACCAACTCCACAGGTTGATGATCCTTTTTTTGTTTATAGTTTTATGACGGTATCATCTTTATAATGGTGTTGTTGCGTGACTGCTCTTCAGTGAATAGCCAGTCTGCATGACTCAGACACAAGCAGGTAAAAGTCCACTTGGAGTTTACTCCAAACAGGAAAACTTTCAAATCAAGCAGAAAGAGAAAAGAAAGGTGGCGGCAAGTTCCAGGTTAGCAGGGGTTAAAAAACAAGAACATCTATGAATAACTGGAAAGCTCTGGCAACAGCACAAAGACAATCAGGCAAGGAACGGTCTTTGTTCCCACAGTACATGTCATGAGGGCACTCACAAAGGGAGTGAAGTGCAGATGAGCAGAGGGAAAAATCATGTGATGCGACTGGTGGGAAAGCAGGAAAGGTGGGAGTGGCTTAGTTAGAAATGACAGAAGAGTTAGAAGCAAGGACGCACACAGAATACAGCACTAATGAATAAAATTCAATTCAATTTTATTTATATAGCGCCAAATCACAACATAAGTCGCCTCAAGGCGCTTCATAGATACAGAGAAAAACCCAACAATCATATGACCCCCTATGAGCAGCACTTTGGCAACAGTGGGAAGGAAAAACTCCCTTTTAACAGGAAGAAACCTCAGACAGAACCAGGCTCAGGGAGGGGCGGGGCCATCTGCTGCGATTGGTTGGGGTGAGCGAAGGAAGACAGGATAAAGACATGCTGTGGAAGAGAGACAGAGGTTAATAACAGATATGATTCAGTGCAGAGAGGTCTGTTAATACATAAAACACACGTACACCGTCTGTCAGCAGGCACGGCACCGTTAATGATAACTAATGACTAAATGCACCTGTAGGCCACCTGATCCAGCTCCAACTATAAGCTTTACCAAAAAGGAAAGTTTTTAATCTTAAAAGCAGAGCAGGTGTCTGTCTCCCAGTCCAAACTGGTAGTCCTGGTTCCACAGACCTCCCATTCTACCTTTAATATAACCAAAGAAGCGAGTAGACGTGGACGTAAATGATAAAAGTTTCCTTCAAAGTACCTCTTTGGACTTGCTAAAGTGTCAGGACCAGTGACAAGTGCCTGAACTGGTGTCCTGTAGATAAATATCAGACTGTGCTTTAATAAAGTAACAACACACAGTTTCTCAAACGTACTAGTTGAAAACAGCTGATTGTGAGCTCATCGTATGTCAGTGAACATGGGAAACTAACCCCGCCATGTCAGCATGCTGATATTTGTCTTTAACTCATTCAAAAGTCGGGGAAAGGTTTCGATCATCTCAAACTTCTCTTTCGTGTCTTTGTAGTCTTCAGACATTTTCCAAACCACATTTTTGTGGTGCTTCTTTGGCAGCGTTGCTTCTTTGTCATTGCTAGTAGAGTTTCTGTTCCAGTGACCACAAACACAGGAAGAGTGCCTGTCATCATCCCACCAAACGGCCATTAAAGGAAAAAAATAGTCTGTCTGTAAATCATTTCAAACAATGTGACAAACATAACTATATACACAGCAGTAAACACTTGCATGGGCTCATAGTCTCAAGCAATATAATAATGCAAAACTATGTGCTGAAAAAACAGTAAACACATCTTTGGCGTCTTCACTGGTATAAACAGCTCCTAATTACGTCTTTATGAAGGACACTGCTTATCGGGCTGTAACAGCCCAGAGCCGCGTTACGAGTGGAAATAAAAAGATCTTTGCATATAAGAGCAGCTGACTGGATTGGAAGTCTTTACTGTAAATGTCTCGTTGTGGCCAGATCACAGGTCAGATTACTGACCCGTGTTTGTCATTTGTCTCCTGTGTGGGGATCCCGATTTCTTTGCAGCTTTACAAGCAAGCCGGTCGTCCAGATGTAGTGAGTAGTGGTTGCCGTGGAAACAGTTAGCGATCAGCTGCCTGCACAGGTGCCTCAATGAGAAAGATGCTCCTATTAAGGCCTTTTAAGTTTGTCTCTTCATCCCTTCATACCGCGCAGATTAAACACATAAAATCTTACTGCTGTTATATTTCCATTAACTGATAATATAATACATAACATTCAAAGTCAATAACTAATCTGTGCTCAGCACCAGTACAGCAGCATGATGGGCATAGATGCAGACTATGCTAACATATGCAGAAAGAAGAATTATAAAAGACTTTTATTCTGAAAATCCATGTTTTTTGGTGCTCATACAAGAGCTCATGAAGCCACTGAATATTTTGCGACAATGATAATATACTTAACTGGTGGACTACACCTATAAAGACCGACTACATGGTGTTTCATTGTATTTTATATTTACCTGGTGTAAAGTAGGAACTCAATAATGGTTAAACAGAATTACCATGTTTGATGCTCTGATGTCTCGGAGGATGACCCACTGATCCTCCACTGTATGTTCACAAGCTCAGCGATGCTGAATCAGCACGGATGTAAATACTAAGTGATTAAATGTTGTGATTGTAACACAAGGATACGCAGATTAGCTTCTTCCTCCTCTCCACAGTACTTCTGGCTGTTTGTGCTCTCCAGAGGACTCGTGGGCATCGGAGAATCCAGCTACTCCTCCATCTCTCCCACCATCATAGGAGACCTCTTTACTAGTAACACCCGCACCATGATGCTCTCTGTCTTCTACCTGGCCATCCCCCTGGGAAGGTAAGATGCAGACAGGGCCTGGGTTGTTGAAGCTGATGAGCTATTTTGGGAGCTGAATGTTCATGAAACGACACCTCAGTGATGACCATGAACGTTTTCATCCTTTCATCTCTCCTAGCCCGTCCTTCAGATGTTAAATCCAAAGGAACTACAGAGCTGTCATATAGATAATTGAACTTTTCCTCACATTGGGAAGGTCACGCTTATGTTTGTTTTTTTTAAATTGAACCTTTGCAGAAAAATACTTTCAGTTGGCTCTGTGAAGCTTAAAGCAGGGTTGGAGCTGTGACATGGAGATTTGTGAGTAGGAGGTATTATTAAGCTCGAGTCTCTAGGCTCTGCAATTCATTTAAGCAGATAAAGAAGCTCAGGGAGAAAACAAACAGAGCCAAGAAATAAAAGACCAATGTACCTGCGATGCTCACTTTAGAGACGTCCCATTCGCCCGAGCTGTCGCAGGCTGTGCTGTTCTCCATCGTTTGCATGCTGGAAGCGCTGCGTAGTCTGCAACGCTCTGAACATGAGCGTTATTTGACATTTCTGTCATTATATCCAGGCTGGAGACAGACGAGCAAAGGGAAGCCTAATCTGCCCTTTGAGTGCTTGTGTTATGACTCGCCAGAGTTGTTTGGGTCACGGTAAACTGCCCAGCAACAATGACAATGGAAGGTGAAAGAGGGAGCCTCGGCGTGGCGCGTCAAACATCCTATCCACTCTCCCGCTTGTTTGTCTTTACTGACGCTGCGGTGACCATTTTCAGGAAATGACCCAGGAATTAGACTGGATTCATAGGAAACGGCTTCCCCTGCCCTTCATCCTTTGTTTGTTTTTTCAAACCTTTTTGAAACCGGCCCCACAGATATGTTTCTGGGTCTCGCTGCCGTTTGAGTCGGTCTGTTTTTCATGCTCAGGTTTTATTGTTGTGTCGAACTTTCCAAACGCTCTCTGATAAGATTAGCTGTTAGTCACTCACTGGAAATATCATATGCTGTCTGAGCACGTTTATGCTGCTCTGTTATTTTTGGAAGACTAGCCGACGACGGCAGACTGTTTCCACCTTCACTGTGCGTGTGTATAAAACCAGCTAAACATGTTTTGTCTCTTTTAGCAGCAAGTGCTGAAAACAAAGTTGTTGCGCTCAATTGATCCTCTCGCTAGTGTTGCAATTTATTATTCTGATGGGAAACAGCATGTGGGGAGAGACTCTGCACATGCAGATAACTCAGAAATCACAAAGGCTGACTGGCTTTCTTCACTTTTCCAGTCAAGAGTTTAAACAAACTGTGAGTAGAAGCCGCGCAAAGTGTTGGACGCCAGGCTCGGGGCCAATGTGTCACTGCTATCTGGGGCAGAGTGTCTGTCCGTGGAAGCCATGAGCTCCGTCAAGCTGTGATCGTGTTTAGTGTCAGGCAAGACTTAAAGGCCTTAACGCACCAGACGCGTTTATATTGTGTGTTAACATGTTTTCAGATTTAACGCCGTCATTTTTCAGATTGTTTCGATTCGGAGGATTTTTTGCATGATCTGACCAATCAGACCGCTGCATTTGGAAACAAGTGCGATCATAGCGTTTGAATATGCAGCGATATGAAAGTGTAAAGGTAATCAGATTCCTCTGCGCCCTCACACGTGACTCCATCTCTGCCAGTAAGAGCTCAAACTGCCCCGCTGACGTCGGTACCAAAGTGATGGTGGATCAAGGAGAACCTCTTCTTTACAAACATCACTATCACTTGATGTCGAGTCCACTTTTGTTGTGTCTATAGGTTAAATGACAAATTTGCATCTGAGAGATTCAGAATGTTGTGTACAAAGTTTACAGTTAGCCACCGTTTAGTTAGTTCGCCCATTTTAACTCCATTTTTCCAGGTAACGTTCCCGTAATGCAGCGTCATAAACGTGTGACAAACAAAGAAAACTTAATTTAGAGACGTGTCTCAGTGATGATCGTCAGCGACGTTTTCCATCCAAGCCACTTTACAGTCTTCAGTTTTAGTGGCAGAGATCAGTGTAGGTCAAAAGTGCTCAAAGCCTCTGAAAGTTAACAATTCATGTTATTGTCACACTCGTCGGGTTTTCTGTTGACATTTGATGAGTATGGTCATGCTGGATAAACTGGCATCAGGGGTGTAAAGCAGCGTCTTTTCTGACAGTTTCATCATTACTGGCAGTTACGTCATCGCCTACAAGCTCAGCAGCTTTGTATTTACTAATCCCCAGGTGCCCAGTTATCAATCTGAATCCTTTTTGTCCTTGAAACGCTGATGCCACGCCGATCTCACCCGATCTGATCCAGCGACAGTTCCCTCAAACGTTTCACTGCAGCGTTCATTCGTTAAGCACAAAACACCATTTTTTTAGCAAAAGCAGTGAAATTACTGTGAGAGTAAAGCCCGCGGCCAGAAGACAACACTGGCTCTGTGTCCTCACATTAGTTACTTTACACCTGCGTTTAGTGGCTGCTCGCACAAATCACCCACGCAGAGACCAAACAGTGCTTTGATCAGTAACACGTCATTAGTTCCCAAACACTCAGCAGCTATAATCAGACTACAAACAGGATGTGTAGTAGTGTGGGCTTCAGCTTCAGTGATGGAAATGACAGACTCAGCTGACGCATGTCACTGAGTCACAACTGACTGACCACTTCACTAATTACACATAATTCCAGTGATTGTTTGTCGAAGCGGCCACTGATCAGGGGAAGAAGAGCGATCCGAACAGGTACCATGGGCGGGGCATTTGAGCATTTCAGCAACTGCTTTTATATATATTTATATATATTTATATATTTTTATATATATATATATATATATATATAAACACCCAGCACGCCCCTGCGGGCGGTTTATCCTTCAAGCTCGGGTCCTCTACCAGAGGCCTGGGAGCTTGAGGGTCCTGCGCAGTATCTTAGCTGTTCCCAGGACTGCGCTCTTCTGGACAGAGATCTCCGATGTTGTTCCCGGGATCTGCTGGAGCCACTCGCCTAGCTTGGGAGTCACCGCACCTAGTGCTCCGATTACCACGGGGACCACCGTTACCTTCACCCTCCACATCCTCTCGAGCTCTTCTCTGAGCCCTTGGTATTTCTCCAGCTTCTCGTGTTCCTTCTTCCTGATATTGCTGTCATTTGGAACCGCTACATCGATCACTACGGCCGTCTTCTTCTGTTTGTCTACCACCACTATGTCCGGTTGGTTAGCCACCACCATTTTGTCCGTCTGTATCTGGAAGTCCCACAGGATCTTAGCTCGGTCATTCTCCACCACCCTTGGGGGCATCTCCCATTTTGACCTCGGGACTTCCAGGTTATACTCGGCACAGATGTTCCTGTACACTATGCCGGCCACTTGGTTATGGCGTTCCATGTATGCCTTGCCTGCTAGCATCTTGCACCCTGCTGTTATGTGCTGGATTGTCTCTGGGGCATCTTTACACAGCCTGCACCTGGGGTCTTGCCTGGTGTGATAGACCCCAGCCTCTATGGATCTTGTGCTCAGAGCTTGTTCTTGTGCTGCCATGATTAGTGCCTCTGTGCTGTCTTTCAGTCCAGCTTTGTCCAGCCACTGGTAGGATTTCTGGATATCAGCCACCTCCTCTATCTGCCGGTGGTACATACCGTGCATGGGCCTGTCCTTCCATGATGGTTCCTCGTCTCCCTCCTCTTTCTTGGGTTTCTGCTGCCTGAGGTATTCACTGAGCACTCGGTCAGTTGGGGCCATATATATATATATATATATATATATATATATATATATATATATATATATATATCTTTCACACAAAGTCTGAAAGAGGAACAACAACAACAGGTCTGTGGGCACAAATGCACTGATGAGGCCAGAGACCGCGGCAGAATGGCCACAAGCTGAGAGAAGAGCAACATTACCTCAGATGAATGAAGCAGCTCAGGACCTGTTCTGTTTAGTAACACAGCAATAGGCTCGATTTACTCAGAAACACTAGAAAAACCCAGCCTGTGTATTGAAGTGTTGCAGATTCAGTGTCTCACCTACACACTGCAGGATCATTTTAAGAACGATTGCTCGATGAGATCGTTGTACCCAAACAACCTTTGCAGACGTGCACATCACATCATGAGTGTGCTGCAGGGAGAATGACGCCATTATGCTGTTATGTGAAGATGGACCCAAATGTTTCTGTGATTCGGTAAACTTGAGCAGAGCAGGCTGACAGTAAAATGCTGTATATGTTGTGTTTTGATGCATAACCTGTTTGTCCCTCTGCAGCGGGCTGGGCTACATCCTGGGCTCCAGCGCCAAGGAGGCTGCAGGAGACTGGCACTGGGCACTGAGGGTAAGAGCGTCAGCATCATGTGGGGTGGTGGGAGGGGGCACTGGCTCAGACGTTTGGGGAACAGAGGCTCAAATCCTCCTTAGCTCAGCCTTCAGCTTCCTGCAGAAGCCTTTCTAAAAACATCTTCTTCCATTACGCGTTCACACCAAAAAAACATTTGCTGCATAGGTTCTGATCGGCTTCAGCAGCAGGAACGTGGATTTCTAATAAACACGCTGCAGTCGCTGTAAACATTTAAGTAACATTTTGCTCATGTAGGCCATTTCTGCTGAACGAGGATAAATGGCAGCTCTGGGAGGTCTTTGTCACTACAGGAGATTAAGGAAATACAACATTTGGTTTGGCCATTGTGTCACTGTTGCACGTCTCGGGTGCATCCGCAGGTACGAGCTGTGTTGTGTCAAACAAATGTCTCCTGACGTCACACCGTAAAGCAAAGCGACAGAGATGATGTCAGAGCCCGATTCAGCAGCTGATGCAAAGATGCTGTTTATAGAGAGCAAGAATCACCCGCAGGAAATGAGCTGCAACAGGCGCCGCAGGCATTAAACGTCTTTGTAGGGCAGCGATGGAGCAATGAGCCGGGCATGGCGCTACAGCTGTGACTAAGTACTGTTGGGCAAATACCCTAAAGGTGCTCTGACGAATTAACCTGGATCTCGTTTGATAAAAGGCTCATTTCTGCTCCCGAGAGAAATCTATCTGCAGAAACCTGCTGATGGGATATTGAAAAAACTCATTAATAGACTGTTTTGTGCTGCAGCAGGAGAAAGGTGCTCTATTAGGAGCATAAAGCCAAAGCTGAGACCAAATGTTTGGAGGTGAACCTCAATGAAGCCGCCCGGCCTCAAAAGAGGGGACCAGCGAGAACCCCAGCAGGGCTCCTCGCGAACCGCTAACTTCAGGCCCATCCTTGGAACGAAGTATGACCTCACCCTTCTTATGAAGTGACTGGAACACATGAAACTTTCTCGCCATGGAAGAGATTCCTGGACACGGACAGCTCGCTTGGCAGGAAGTTCATTTCTTCCTCGCCGTGGCGGAGCTTTAAAATAAAAACAAAGAGCAGGCTGGCTTGTTCCAAAGCAGCCACAATGACATTCCAATAAAACAATCTCAAAGCCAATTAATCACCGGTGTGGCATGCAGGGAAAACAAATAACAAGACATAAAACGGGTTCTTTGCAGCGGCATCCTGCTTGAAGGGAAAAACACTGCAGCGCTTCCGTTTGTTTTTGCCCAGCGTGTTCCAGCTAGCTTCCTGAAAATATGGATGGGATGAAGCAACAAAGGAGGTCCAGCAGGAGAGGGCAGTAGCTCATTTATTTGATAGCCCACCACCCATACAGGAAGCGTCTAATGGGCCCTGTGGGAGTCGAGGTTAAAGGTCACAGCCCCTTTGAGTTTTAGAATAATTCTGAAGGAACACAAGTGCCAAAAAACCTGATATTTGTTTCCCCTTCAGTGAGACCAGCTCCAGCTTCCATTAGGCCGCCTCGCTCTGAGACACGTTATAAGATTTCGATGTAGACGGCGGCGCACGGCGGCGTAATCCTCACACTTCTGAGAGCGCAGCCACATTATTAACTGCATTATGAGCCACGGCAGACACAGAATTATTCCCCCAGTGAAAAACTCCAAAGGACAAACACAGACGCACACATCCTCACACAGACACACACAGACACACACAGACACACGTTTCACAGCAGCGCAGTACTTATGCATATAAATGGGCTTTTATGAGCATCAAAATATAACGGGATGAATTTCCCCTGACATACGAAATTGGTTTTGCTTTTGTGAGCAATTTGTATCACTCAAACGAACCCCCTCGAACGCAGCCCATCCTGCCTTTTGTCTTCGTCTCCGCCACAAAGTCGCACGCAGGTACAAACACGCTGCCACGCAGCCCATGAAAGATGATGGTGACTATAGCAGCAGATGGGCACTTTATGAGGTTTTCACCTCGGTGAAACCTCACAAAGCAAAAACAAAAAAAGCTTTTTTAGGCTCTTTTGTGCTTGTACCCACAGCCAGGCCCACACCCACACATGCACACACGTGCACACACACACAGTGAGTGTCAGGCGTAACGCAGACGCCGTCCATTCAGACTGGAAACAGCGTTCTTTGTCTCCTGTTTTAACTCTTCTATTGCTGTTTGTTAGCATGATGTGTCTGAACTCTGATGCTGATTGATTCTCGTCCCTTTAGGTTTCCCCAGTTTTAGGCATCACTGCAAGCGTTCTCATCCTGCTCCTTGTCCCTGACCCAAAGAGAGGGAGCGCCGATCAGCTGGGAGGTCGCATCAGGAGCCGCACCTCCTGGTTGTGTGACATGAAAGCGCTCGCCAAGAAGTAAGGCTCACTTTCAGACAGCACATTTTGGGAAATCGTTTATGAGTTCAGTGTTCAGGGGGATTTATGGATAGATTTAGAGTTTTGGATATAAGTCGAGCTGCAAGGTCCCAACAGTCCTAAATGATCTCATCCTAGATCATCTGCCCCTCCGATCATCCTCCGTCTAAAGCTGTCGTCTCAGTTTCCCTACATGTCCACCCTGTCTTTGCTTCCCTCTGGTTTGCTCACAGCTGATATTAAATAAGGAAAATAGCAGAATTGTCTGTTTTTAGCTTTCTAAGTGTGAGAACATGCTTCTTTACATTCAACTACATCCTTCATCAGTACGTTTAAATTGTTGGATGGACAAACAAAAGCATTACACACGTCTTCATTATGTAACCATGGCTGAAATGGAAATGCCAACAGGAGCATTCACTGTCCTCCTGCCCTTCTGCTGAACAGCACATGGAGATATCATCTGAATTTCAGGAGCAGACCACCTCCGGCCTCAGGCTGTAGAAGCCCCCCCTTCACCAATACCTGCTGTTCTCATTTTCATGCCCCCCCGTTTTCTCTCGCTCCTCTCCTCTCCTCTCCTCTCGTCCTTTCCTTCATTCACTCCTCGTTAGTACATAGGATCTGTCCGGCCCGGGAGGCGTCACCAGTCCCCTTCGAGGCCTTCCCCAAACCGCAGCACCAGTTCGTACTCCCTCATCGCCCATCGTTACAAAGGATGTGGTCCCAGCCGGTGAAACACTGTAGCTTTGTTGTGTTGGACCCGTGGGCTGGGTTTCTTTATAGAGATGTTGGACATTTTTAGCCGTTTGGATTTATTCTTCACTTCGGTGGCTTTGAGCTGCAGCACCTGCTGTTTCAGCTGCTTTAACTCTGTGCAACCATCAGCTTGCAGTTCTGGTCAGATAAGAAAGAGTCAGCGAGATGTTTGACACGATGTGATTATCCTCACGATCTTTCTGTGTCTTTGTTGCCAGTCGGAGCTACGTGTTCTCCTCCTTGGCTTCGGCAGCGGTCTCCTTTGCCACGGGTGCGTTTGGTATATGGATTCCTGGCTACCTGTTTAGAGCCCGGGTGGTGCAGAAGACGGCAGAGGCTTGCACAAAAGAGATTTGCAGTAGCACGGACAGGTGAGAGGCTCATGACTCGACGGAGGGGGTGGATTTCTGTTTCCTTGTAAAGGGCAGGACTCCAGCACCGTTTAAGGATCAGAGATAGAAAGTAAAATTATTTGAGTTTCCTCCAAAGGATGCATGAGGAGGAGCGTGTGACACACCCCACTGTGAGCAGCTGATTGTAGCTTTTTTTACAGTGCGCCATTCTTCTGCGACCTTGATCGCAGTGTTTCACGCTGTAAAACCTGCTCGTCTAAATCTGCGTTATTTCCCACAGCATGGTGTTCGGGGCCATCACATGTGTGACGGGGCTGTTAGGCGTGGTCATCGGGGCTCTCACCACACGCCTGTGTCGCCAGAAGACAGAACGAGCCGACCCTCTGGTGTGCGCCGTCAGCATGCTGGGCTCGGCCATCTTCATCTGCCTCATCTTCGTGGTGGCCAAGAAGAGCATCATTGGAGCTTACGTAAGGCTCGTTCCCTGGAGCTGTCGCACAGACGGCGTTGTGCCTGCAGTGGATCAAGTTTAAGTAAAGAGCTGTGCCAGGTTTGGGGATGTTGGAAAAGCATTCTTCATTTTCAAGGATGAGGCGATATTAGCGTGTCAGCTATGATTCGTTCTAGAAGCTGACAGTCAAATGAGACGGAGAAGCTGTCGGGTGGGAGCAGAGCAGTGAATGGGTGTAGCTGATCATACTGATCGTAATAACAGGTGAGCCTGATCGGGCCTCCACACTCACTAATCGTAGGCAAACAGCATGGAGCCAGTGGACCTAATTACCTCGTGCAGCAGGAAAGGCTGTTTTTGAAACAATGTCGGACTTATCAAGCACAGATTTCTCGCTCTTATCAGTGACAAAGGAATAGGAAGGGACTCTCAACAAGTTGGCCTGCAGTGGCAGAAACGTGGCAGTCCCATGCGTGTAAGGAAACTTAACAAACAGGCTTCCATATCCTAAAAAATGTGACCTCGGCTTTCCCTGGAAAGTCCAGCTTCGTATTGGATTTTACAACTGTGAGCATTTTTTTAAACCGAGTGACGATTCGAGTGACACGTTTGATCCTGGTATGAGGAACAAATCCCTCTGAGCTGCTGTCAGGAAGAAGAAATCAAACATGCAGAGCTCCCACTGTCCACGAGCAAACAACCAAAAGCTGATTTATTTAAGCAGCAATATGTTAAGTTAAGTGTCATTTATATGAATTAAGTGAGTAGCCCACAGGTAGCACGCCAAACAAAGTAGGTCCCAGGTGACAGATGATTACTGCTGCGAATAATGATTTCGATGTAATGAAGTAAGATTTGTTTGAACTTCTTCCAGGTCAAAGGCGCACATTTATCAGGTGTCAGGCAGCAGCATGACTCAGCCAATTAGAGCCGAGGAGCAGAAGTTTCCATATTAATTACACCATTACAGATCTGTCCAACTCAATTTTATACAGTTGCTCTATTACAGAAACAGGCTTTAGCTTTGCTAATGACTGAAGTGACGCCTGGTATCGCTCCGAGTGTCAGATGGTAACAGTGCAGGTTGAACGCTGTCTCGGGTCCAACGACAGAGGTTTGGGTTTTAACCAGGCAGCAACAGTAGCAGTCCTCACTACGAGGTCATAATTTCAAACACATGATGTCACTGCTTTTAGCCAGCTTCAGTCTACTGTACAGTATTAAATCATCTTACAGTACAGCAGCGCGTGTAAGTGATCGGCTCAAGTTTCATGGCAAAGCGCTGACAGATGTGTCACATTATAAGGCGTGACACGGCTGCGGCGGGCGGCGCTGCTCTGTCGAGGCCGTCTGACCTCTCGCAGCTGTTGTCTCGTCAGCGCACAGCCGTGCGTCTCTCTTCTAAGAGGCGACGTGTTGGCAGCTTTCAGAGCGGACCTGTCTGCTGTGACCTCTCTGTACTGTAGGTCTGAAACAGCAGCACAAGTTTTATTCCCCGGCAGGAGGAGCCGTGTTGGACCCTCGGTGCTGTTCACCAGCAGCCCGAGTGTTCCTGTCTTACTTCAAGTTTTCTCCTCCACCTGTATAGTTGTGGTTTTCCACACTGAGCTTCAACAACAATCCTTATCATCCGGTGCTGCTCTTCAGCTCGTGGGCTACACGCTCGGCGTTTTTAAACCACCGCAGCAAAGCATTTCTCTGAGTGTTCCCACACGGAGTTAACGATCTCTTTCTTTCTTTAGGTTTGTATCTTTATTGGAGAGACGCTGCTTTTCCTCAACTGGGCCATAACAGCAGACATCTTAATGGTAAGTATTGAGAAACCAGTACTTCTCCTCTGGGTCACTGGAAGTTCCAGCGACAAACTTTACCAATGGGGTCGTCAGATTAGATGCAGGTTTGGAAATGTGCGAGCGGCCGACAGTTCGGGCGGGGCTGATAATTGCTGCCTCGACTGAGGCTGAGTCATTCCCGCTGGTGAAAACAAACACAGGGGAGGTTTTTCTCTGATGTGTGTTTTAGTGTCTAAAAGTTCAAATCAGCCAAATGAAATTGGGTTTCCGCTGAGCTGGGTGAACGAAGCAGCGCCTGGGTTTGTGTTGGTGGTGACTGTGTGGAGACGCACCACTGTGGACAACCCAGGTGTGCCTGGGCTGGGTTTTCCAGTTACTTTGTGCAATCTGCTGCATTTTTCAGCCTTTGTTTCTTTATGTGTTTTTGCAGTTTGTTGTTATACCCACGCGGAGAGCAACAGCTGTCGCGTTCCAGAGCTTCACCTCTCATCTCCTGGGCGATGCAGGAAGTCCGTACCTGATAGGCCTGGTAAGACTCTCCCAACACAACACTGTGTGATGATCCGGGTGTGAAGAGGGAATGTGTTTACGGTTTAACCAGTGTTGTGAGTCTAGACAGTACTGCTGCAACACAAACGATGTTCAGCTCTCGCTTTAAGTAGGACGGTGCAAAGTGGAGCTTTTAGCTCACGTCTCAGGAGAGCTGTGATTTCACCGCTGCTCTTCAGGCTGTCGGTGGCTTTCTCTAGTAAACCTCGTGGCTCCCAGAAGGGGCCTCTGTTACTGTATTCAACTGGTCAGGAGACGAAAATGGCTCTTACCGCCACGCTGGGCCCCTCGAGGTCACAAGCAGCCCCCTGCCCCACATCCCACCCTTCAAACTGCAAGTATACAACCAAAGAACAGCATTTAGGGGCCCGAGTGGAAGTGCTGCTTGCTATTCAGTCAAGTGTGAAACAGGATTCACTTCAGACTGTCGAGTGAAATTCTTCACGTTTCAGCCTGAGATTAAACGATGTTAAATAGTAACTCACAGAGGCACACGGTGTGCGCTCGTGTTCAGCGTACACGGAGCGTGAACAACAGTGATGGCCGTAGAGCGTGTCACAATCTATGCACACGCTTGACTTTATCATAACCGCCTTTGTGTTGTATTGTTGTGCCCTGGCTCACAGCCTGGCTTAGCTACATTAACCAAAGCAGTGGAAGTGTTTGATTAGTGAATCAAACTGGCCCGACAGGCTCACGCAGACGCAGGTGTCTGCAGAGCTGCAGACCGCAGTGCTTTCTTCCCTAAATGAAAATGTTGAAATAGTGTCTAAGCCCGTGTAACAAAAGAAGCAGAAGATGATTTACAACGACTGATCAAAGCCAGCCTTTAAAAAAATACACATTCTGTGGTGATGCAGGTTCAGGGGCTGGCACTGCATTGTGCCTGCACATTCAATAGATCAATTATATTGTACAGATTTGCCACAGAGAGATTTTGCTTTGATAACCGCATGACTCATTCTCAGTCACCTTGATTCTACTCATTTGAAGGCTCCATCGGTGCTCCAATAGTCTAACCACAGAAACAGTTCAGATCAGTCGCAACAGGAAAAATGCAACGTGTTGCCGACAGGGAGGATTTGTCTCTGCTTGAAATCATTGTGCTTTATGTTGGATAAATAAAACAGGTGGAGTCTCACTGATATAATAAAACTTCTCCGTTTTTTTCCTGAATTTTACCAAGTAAAACAGAAAATTAACCAGCAGATTAAATATTAATTGAAATAACAGATTATTTAGACAGGACCATAGCAGCGCGGCTTTGTTGTCTACTTAAACATGCGGACATGAAACTGAGTAGGTGAGAAACAGCATGAGAAGAGGAGCTGGGGTGGAGGCGGGTTGCAAAGCTGCTTGCAGCCGCACAGAAGGTGAGGTTAAAACAGCAGGAAGGAATTTCTGTTTATGAGCAGACAACTGGATATCTGACAGAATATCAGCTGAGCTGTCATGTGATGTGTGCTGGCATTGAGGTCATCAACCTTATGCCTTTTATATAGTCCGATATAAGATTATTACTTAGCGGTCGTTGCCCATGCCCCAAATGTCGGTAAACACACACAGCTCAGTATTGAAGGCACTAAAGCCTACATCCAGGCTTCAGGGGTCACAGTTCACCTCTGGGTGACACAGCCAACCGCCGGCAGTTACTCAGACCTCCACAAACCCAGGACCGCAGCATAGACTGCTCCGAGTGCGTCAGCACTGTTGTTGTGCAGTGGTTAGACACACGAGTGCCATGACCCTGTCGCAGCACAGGCTGAGTGCAGGCAGATACGCAGTCGCCCGTGCACTGTCACAAATACTGTGAATGAGCAAAGTGGAGAGTCACAAGAAAAACAGACCAGTGGTTATTGCTTAGCAACCACAGGAGAAAGTGAGCAAGTGAGTCGTCTCGGTTCACAATTAGGTTTTGACGTGTGACGCGGAGATCATGCACAATAAACCACTGCGGCATTTCCAGTACGCCTGCTGCACATGGCAGCGCCCGCAGATATCGGTGCCCGCATGCCGCACAGATACCACTTCCTGTCGTGTAAAAAAACAAAGATTCCTCTCTATCAGCGCGTACACCAAAACGAATCCCCCGAGAAGGACATGATGGACTCCACCTATACTGTAAAGTAGGACACAGCCAGAGGCAGAGTGGGTGGCAGCGGGATGCCGGTGACAATCTCTCAGCAATCTTCCAAGAAATGCTTCCTGGTAATTAGACATGCGGCTGTTCTCCACGTATTTTTAGTCAAGCTGCACTCTGCAAGTTGCAGACAATTGACTGTACCTGACGAAATGGCCTCTGCACCAGCCTCTCACACACACACACACACACACACACACACACACACACACTTGGTCATTTTCTGTAATGGCTCCTTATTAAGCATGCACGTGGCTGCACATAGGAGCACATACTGCACGCGTGCAGTCCTCCTGTCAGCATTTCTCAAGCTCTCCCTGCAGAAGACCTGGCTTTTGCTGACATAACAAGAAATGCCTGTGCTTTAGTGACCTATTGTTGCCCACGGATTCGACAGCCCACAGTCTGCTGAAAGCTAGCAGCACCAGCCTCCTCTCCGTCACGACTGTCAGAGCAGCGATCTCTGGGAGGCAGAGATGGTCACTTCACTCCCACCGCTCTCCAGCTGTTGTTTTTCTCGACACTGCGCACGACAGACTGAATGCTGGTGTTGCTGAAGATGAAGATGAGCTATCAGCTGTGAAATCCTGCCTATTTTAGGACAAAAACAAGGCGTCTTACATCATGTGTCGGTTTTGCAGTGATGAAATGTGCAGAACTCACGCTGAGCAGTGAGCAGCTTGTAGTGTGTCAGAGCATTAGGAGATATATAAAGATAAGGTTTTGAATGAGTACAATCTTTCCTTTTGTTGTGTTTGTGGTCATGTGTCATTGTGTATGTGCGTCTGGCCTGATTGCAGATCTCGGACGCCCTTCAGCAGAAGTACACTACATCAGCACTGTGGCGGTTCCTGAGTTTGGGCTATGCCCTCATGCTTTGTCCCTTCATCATCGTCCTGGGGGGCATGTTTTTCCTGGCCACCGCGCTCTATTTCCTGGATGACAAAGATAAAGCCGAGGCCCAGTAAGTGACTCGGACTGTTTTTGAATAACTCATCATTATTTCATGTATTATTGAGTCATTCATTCTTCATGTAAGACCTCCACAAGTTCAAAACAAATCATCTTAGTTGCGAGAGGTTGAGGAGGTGTCAGCAATCCTTATATTATTTATTGTCAGCAGAGTGCAGAAACATTGGGTTGAGATTTTTTATTTATGCTTGAGTTTGAGGCAAGCCAGGCACACGGCGCCTGAGCGATGCCAAGAGTGGTGCCAACCCGGAGGACCCAGAAAGGCCCCGAGCCAGCAGAAAGTCCCAGTCAGCTGAAAATGCTCCAGAGCTGTTGTAGCCATCAATTTGTTCTCACTAAGACTTTTACCAGCCTATCCTGCTCATACGTTCATATTTTCCCTCCTTCAAACCCGAGCAGGTCATAGCCTTAAAAGGCAAAAACACACTCGTCCTTCTTCGGTCTTCTTATTTCCTCCTGACTACTTTTTTCCTGTTTTTTTATCACGTCAGCTTACTCCCCTGGTGCCAGCGTTCTAAGAAATGACTTCCTTCCTGCTGAAGATGACGGGTGTTTTTAGACAGGATGGCAGTCTGAAGTCTGAAGTCTGTCTTCGCCCAATCGACTTAGTCACGCGTTGTTTCCCAGTGTTTTCCAAACCCCGTTCGAGCTTTTTTTGTCCAGCTTGGTCAAAATAATCACCAGAGGAGCGTTTTAGTGTCGTTGCCATATTTGTAGTCCAAGCTGCCGTTCACGCTGTCGATGTTTCCTCTGTGAAATGTTAATATACGGTTTTAAAGAGCTCTTTTTAAAGACATACATCACTGCTGTGGCTACGAAGCCACGCTGCGCTTCTGGTGGGTTTACTCGAAGAAGAAAAAGAGTCACACTCTTGCCATTGTGCCAGTAATAGATACGAGGCTGTGGCCAAACATGCAACCACATTATTGCAGATTGCAAATGTTCACTCAAACTATGTCCAACCACAAGCCCTTAACTTTCACGTGACACTGTTTAGGTCTAATGCTGCAGCATGTGCAGAGCTACACACTACACAGACTGGAGGCGTGTCCTCATACAAATACTTCACATGGTGTATGGAAGTTAGCATTAAGGTCACTTGGACTCAACGCCAGTACAGCTTTAAGTCTCCCTGCATAAAAGACTAAAAGAAAAAATGTTTAATCAGTATGTAATAAATCCTTATGCTGCAGTAATACGTGTGAGTATACAGACGTTACAGACACTGTGGTAGGAAGAACACCATCCACACCCACAGCCTGCTCCTGTGGAAAGCTGAAGCATAAATAAATGACTGTGAATCCACTCGATACAACAGCAAACGCAGCGTTCATACCTGCGCGCTACACAGCAGATTTGTGCGAAATATCCCATCAGACTGAAACAGCAGCTCTTATGTAACAAACAGCAAACGGCACCTCGGGGACCGAGAAAGCTCACAACACGCACAACTTTGTCGAACGAGGGTTGTTCCACGACTCGGCTATTTATAGATCCCATTCACACTATAAAGCCCCAATTTATACACAGCGCTCTGCACCCCCGTCCTCCTCCTCTGAGTGTGTCCTCAGACACTCTGAGCTATTTATAAAAAGCTGAACAAGTAACTCGGGAGAGTGCGGCTGTCTAATTTCTGCCTTAAACATTGCTTCATTATTTCTAGGTTGGTAGCTTTTGGCTGCAGGGTTGCCATTAATAGCTCCAGTTCATTGCACACACACACCCTTCTCGCACACATTTATCCAGTCCACATCTACACTCGCTGATGTGTGACAGCAGATCTGTCTCAGCCGCCATGACTGTGAGCTTTGATCGAGCGTGGGTTCAAGCAGGCAGGCGGTACGCTGCAGCTCGGTGAGAACAGGATGTGGACATGATGGAAGTTAGGATGAAAACGTGAAGAAAAACTGAGGATTCATAAACATACAGTGAATTGTGTGTGTTTTTAGCGAGATGCTAAAATGATTCTTCTTTCTTCAGGTGTAACCAGGCAACACAGCCCCCGTCTTCAGTCAAGGTATGACCAGGTAAATTGCCTTTTATCCTAAAGACACTTTCAGCAGTAGTAGTAGTGACAGTCTCAGCTCACTGACGTTTACAGAGCTCCCGTCTCAGTACCTGGCAGCGCTTTTCATTGGGAGACACCTAAAAACAAGGATGAATGACACGTTAACCTGAGGCCACGCAGAGCTTTACAGCAGTGCAGGTGATAAACACGAATCCATTCGGCGTCTACTCGGGCGTTCAGGCGTTCTTTGAATTGTGATTATTTGACCAACTACTTGGCATCTTATCAGGACCTGAGGTGCCTTTCCTATTTCCTGCCTTTATCACTCGCTCACACATGGTGCAAACCTCCCTAATTATTAACTCAGCAGAAAAGCACACAATAACTGGCAGCAAACCAGCAGACTCTGCACAATGGGGGGGGGGGCACAAGAATAAACTTTGACTCCCTGATTAGGAAGACAAGAAAATCTGCCGCGACTTATTTGTAAAGGTTATCATGTACAGCTGAAAGGCCGGGCTTTTACTCTGTTCTTTGGAGCCCTGGCTGGGTTTAATTGACCTCTAAATATTTATCAAACTGGTTTATGTACACGAAACGGAAAAAACTGCCAATTGATGCTTGTAATTTTGGCTTTTTTTCACTACCCCGCCATTAATAATCTGTCTGTGTGAGCCAAGGTCCCGTCTGCTGGTGTAACCAGGATAGACAAACGAGAAAACAAAGGGGCGTTGGAGTTTTGACCGGATGGACAGAGTTCAGGTCAGGAAACAGTGTGATCATGGGCCAAAGTTGCAGCTGGCTGTAGTATTTGAGAGCAACGGTCGATTAGATGGAAAATTTGTCTGAGAGTGCGACTTCACACAGACGGTAGAAAGAATGATCTACCTGAGAAAACCTGATTATCTGTATGTAGGAAAAGTTGTCCTCTGCTCATCCTGCACATTTTCCGAAATAAACATAGAAATTAAAATTCAAAGATTACAACCGACGAGACGCTACGCTGGTGGCACCGCTCAGTTCAGGTTTGCTCGTATAACACCAAGTCAGAAAAGTGTAAAAGCCTCCTTTGACGACAACAGAAACTGTGCAAACAACAGTGTAAATATTCGCCTTGAGAATAAGAATGTTTTCAACAGTTAACACTGAAAGCTGCACCACCGTACGGCATAGCATCACTCACAGCAACCAAATGTTTACTGTGATGGATTACCTATTACAGGTGAGAGCTTGGGAAGCAGATTTGCATGGAGCACTGATGGATGGGAGCCTTGAAGGCAGAAAATCAATCTCAAAATTTGCAGAATGCTTCAGAATATATTCTGCAGAAACATAGGGGCATACAATTTGTATTTAATGGGCTGCAAAATATTGAAACACCAGTGCTGTCCTGTAGGTCCTGCAGCGTCATTCCCATTGGCAGGGTGAGATTAGCGTGCATAGCTAATGACAGGTGACACGAAAGGCTCCGCCGCCGTGCATATTGTGTTTCGGTGCTCTCGGCCTGAGGGCCTCATCACTTCTCTGTCACACGCAGCAACCAAAGCATTTCGTTCCTGCTGTCAAACGGTGCTAATTATAGAGAACAGTGATTACAGCTGCATGAGGTCAGAGTTGAGTCTGCCTGTGACATTTCTGCAGTACAACCACATCGTTCCAGGTAATTGATTCTCAACAGATTTGATGTGCAGGGTAATCCAGTCAATGGCAGGTAGCATTTCCTCCCTTGGGTCTGATTCAAGATCAATACAGAAAACAGATTACCTGCTCAGCGATGACACGTGTTCACGCTCACTTTGACCGCTGTGTACAGCCGTCAAATAGAAACAGGGCAACAAATAGAAACAGGGCGACAAATAGAAACAGGCCAACAAATAGAAACAGGCCGACAAATAGAAACAGGCCGTCAAATAGAAACAGGGCAACAAATAGAAACAGGGCAACAAATAGAAACAGGCCAACAAATAGAAACAGGGCGACAAATAGAAACAGGGCGACAAATAGAAACAGGGCGTCAAATAGAAACAGGGCAACAAATAGAAACAGGCCGACAAATAGAAACAGGGCAACAAATAGAAACAGGGCGTCAAATAGAAACAGGGCGACAAACAGAAACAGGGCAACAAATAGAAACAGGCCGACAAATAGAAACAGGCCAACAAATAGAAACAGGGCGACAAATAGAAACAGGCCGACAAATAGAAACAGGGCAACAAACAGAAACAGGCCGTCAAATAGAAACAGGGCAACAAATAGAAACAGGCCGTCAAATAGAAACAGGGCAACAAATAGAAACAGGGCGACAAATAGAAACAGAGCGACAAATAGAAACAGGGCGACAAACAAAAACAGGCGTTCAAATAGAAACAGGGCAACAAATAGAAACAGGCCGTCAAATAGGAACAGGCCGTCAAATAGAAACAGGCCGCAAATAGAAACAGGGCACAAATAGAAACAGGCCGACAAACAGAAACAGGCTGACAAATAGAAACAGGGCGACAAACAGAAACAGGGCGACAAATAGAAACAGGGCGACAAATAGAAACAGGCCGTCAAATAGAAACAGGCGACAATAGAAACAGGGCGACAAATAGAAACAGGCCGACAAATAGAAACAGGGCGACAAATAGAAACAGGCGACAAATAGAAACAGGCGTCAAATAGAAACAGGGCAACAAATAGAAACAGGGCAACAAATAGAAACAGGGCGACAAATAGAAACAGGGCGACAAACAGAAACAGGGCAACAAATAGAAACAGGCTGACAAATAGAAACAGGGCGACAAATAGAAACAGAGCGACAAATAGAAACAGGGCAACAAACAGAAACAGGCTGACAAATAGAAACAGGGCGACAAATAGAAACAGGGCGACAAATAGAAACAGGGCGACAAACAGAAACAGGGCAACAAACAGAAACAGGGCGACAAACAGAAACAGGGCAACAAATAGAAACAGGCCGTCAAATAGAAACAGGCCGACAAATAGAAACAGGGCAACAAACAAAAACAGGCTAACAAATAGAAACAGGGCGACAAATAAAAACAGGCCAACAAATAGAAACAGGGCGACAAATAGAAACAGGCCGTCAAATAGAAACAGGCCAACAAATAGAAACAGGCCGACAAATAGAAACAGGCCGACAAATAGGAAATTATAAAGCGCTGGAAAAGTTTAGGGAGAATATTTTAATTTGAAAAGTGTCTGAATCCATCAAGAAGTGGAAGCTGGTGTGAGGAGAGAAAAGACACTTCTGCTGAATAAATGAGGATGAAGGGAGGCAGTAATCGCTTAAGCTGTTATACATCGCGAGCTATTAATCTCCGGCGAAGCAATCCCAGACGGAGATGAGATACACCAAGATCCAATTAACTTCATGTGCAAGAGGAACTGGCCTCTGCTGACCAGGTTTCCTCCACCCCGCCGCACAATACCTCGAGGACGTCCCCGAGCCGGGGGCCGTCAAAAGATCGCCGTGTGATCTGACAGCGGACCTTCACGCTCATTTATTCAGTAACTGCAACTCTCCTGAAATTTAAATCATGAGGCAAAACTCTGACTTAATCACTGCTGTCCAAACTTTAACTGTTACAACTGTTTATACAGCTGCAGGCACAAACTTTCCTTCTTCCTCCTCTTATCATTCAACAAAGGCTCAGAGTCCTCAGTCAGCAGAGCTCGCTGGGGTCACCGTGCCGCAACCGCAGACCGCACACACACATGCATATACACACACACACACACATGCATATACACACACACACACACATGCATATACACACACGGGAAGTATAGAGGCAGGCTGTGGTGGGACTCGTATAGCTTTTATTGCATTGCTCCTGTTTCATGACATTGTGAATGCCGTGTCTTCTTTATTGTCTTTGGCCTTCAGTCTGGTTTCGTCGCTCCTCCATCACATCTGCAGCCGTGTCAGCCGACATGTTTTTGCTTCCAAAAACTGCTGCATGTTGGTTTGATTAGTCTTTGTTTGCTTGCCAAATCACTCAGTCCTCCACTTTGCTGCAGAAGCCAGCACAGTAATTGTTTAGCTGCGAGGAGGCAGGCCAGTCCCACAATATCAAAGCATTCACAACTCTAATTATCTCTCCATCACACTAGCGTTTGGGTATTTTAATTTCAAGTCTGTCTCATAAACAATTCAGAGTTTACAGCAACAACTGGAACTAACAGTTGAAAAATGCTTCATCCCAGAGAGGACTGGATCTGCATATGCAAAACAAAAATCCCTTAATCCTCTTGTTTATGCTAATTACCCCGGCTGCTCTCAGTGTGTGTGTCTACATGTGCACTATATACACCTGTGTGTGTTTCACTGAGAGACGCTCAGAAACTCACTCTGCTGAGCTCTCTCACAATAATCCCATTGTAGCAGCAGCATTAGCACGTGCACTGGAGCGACCAGGGCAACGTAAATGACCACAACAAGCAGCGGGACACTCTGCCATCCCTCACTCATCCAATCTGAAGGGATCACAAGTGTGGCACCGTGAAAGCTTAAAGGTCTAATCTCCAGCTGGTGTGAAGTCCCCCCTCTGGTGCCACGCCTTCTCCATTCGCTTTGTTTGTGGTTGTATCAGCAGCTAGAAGTTAGATTGGCTTGTCACACCGGCCTCTTCGTTCAATCACTTCCTCATTTAATCGCCTCGTGTTATGACCGTGTTTTACCCTCAACAAACCCCTCCCTCATTAGTCTTTGCGTATGCCGATGGCATGTTTGCCATAGAAACCGAGGCACCATCAACATCGAATATACGGCTGCATCTGGAGAAGCAGCGGCCGCGTGTTGCTGTGGCTTATAGCTTGCAGACTGGGGAGGATCTGCGTTAGACAAAGCGTAAAGCGCTGTCAGACCATCTCTCCCTTCTGCTACACCCAATATACACACAAAAGATCAAGAGCACTGGGATTACAACCAAAACCGTGAGAACATGGCCGCAGGACGCTATTCCGATGCTTCAGGACTGTTTCCACTGCACAGACTGGGATGTATTCAAGGTGCAGGACACTGACAATCGTGTCGCATTGGACAGTTACACCTCCACTGTCTTGGACTACATCTGTTTCTGTGTGGACAATATAACAACTTGGAAACGATTCCGTGTGTTCCCTAATAATCCACCCTGGATGACACATGGAGTTCAACAACTTATTCGAACAAGGAACAACGCTTTCAAATCCGGGGACCAGGAGGCATACAGTGCTGCCAGGGCCAACCTGAGAAGAGGCATCAAGACTGCCAAGCAGCAGCACAGGAGGCGTATCGAGGCCAGGTTTGAGAACAACACAAACCCAAGGCAGGTCTGGGAGGGCATCAGGGCTATCACGGACTACAAAAGAAGAACACCATCACCCTCAGCCGACAGTTCTACTCTGGCTGAGGATCTAAATCTCTTTTATGCCCGTTTTGACAGGGAGAACACCGACCCTGTCCTGTCCCCTCTCCCCTCAACCGACCCTGCTCCGGTCCTGAGCACTCATGAGCTGAGGCGTGTGTTCCGGAGCATTAACACCAGGAAGGCGGCCGGGCCGGATGGAGTGCTGGGCCGGGTGCTAAAAGACTGTGCTGCGGACCTGGCAGACGTCTTCACCTCTATATATAACACCTCGTTGTCCTGTTCACTGGTACCATCCTGTTTCAAAGCAGCAACCATCGTTCCCATCCCAAAACAGTCAAATGTCACATGTCTGAACGATTTCAGACCTGTGGCACTCACCCCCATTCCCGCCAAATGCCTGGAGAGACTGGTCATTAAACACATCAGAGCTGCTTTTCCACCATCCCTGGACTCGCACCAGTTTGCATACAGGGAGAACCGGTCAACCGAGGATGCGATCGCCACAGTGCTGCACACATTACTGAAGCACTTGGAACACAGGAACACCTATGCACGGCTCCTCTTTGTAGACTACAGCTCGGCTTTTAATACCATCCGGCCATACAAACTCCGTCCCAAACTCCACCAACTGGGACTTAACTCCTCTCTGTGCAACTGGATTGTGGACTTCCTCACTAACCGTAGACAGAGTGTCAGAGTGGGTAAGAACACCTCTTCCACCCTTGTGGTCAACACCGGTGCCCCTCAGGGGTGTGTTCTGAGCCCTCTGCTATACACTCTCTTCACCCATGACTGTATTTCCTCCTGCGCGTCCAATCTCATTGTTAAGTTTGCAGATGACACCACAGTGCTCGGACTTATATCCAACAATGATGAGACAAACTATAGGACAGAGGTGCAACAACTAGAGTCATGGTGCCACGACAATAACTTGGTCTTAAACACCAAAAAGACCAAGGAGATCATTGTAGATTTCTGGAAGAGGGGTCATAACAACCATCTGCCTCTCTTCATTGGCAGTGAGGCGGTGGAGAGGGTGAGCAGTTTTAAATTCTTGGGGGTAACTGTGACCGAGGACCTGTCCTGGGGCAACCATATCACCTCAGTTGCACGGAAGGCCCAACAGCGCCTCTACTACCTGAGGAGACTGCGGAGCGCACACATTCCCAGATCTCTGATGTTGAACTTCTACAACTGTGCCATCAGCAGCGTTCTGACGTATGGATTTCTAGTGTGGTTCCCCAGCTGCACCAAGGCCGATCAGCAAGCACTCCAGCGGGTGGTGAAAGAAGCTGGCAGAATTATTGGAACAAGTCTGCCAGAGATCAGTAATATCTTCCCCACTCGCTGTCTGAGGAGGGTGCACAGTATCTTGCGGGACCAACATCACCCTGCGCGCCACCTTTTCCATCTGCTGCCCTCAGGGAGAAGGTACAGGTCTATACAGGCCAGAACATCCAGACTGGCCAACAGCCTGTATCCACAGGCTGTGAGGCTCCTGAACTCTCTGCCCCCTCTCACGGACAATAACCATATCCAACTTCTTAATAGCAATGAACTGGTCTGCATTGGTGCATCATATCTTTATTCTCTTCCCCCTCCTGCCCCCCCCCCCCTCTTTCTTAAATAGATAACTATCATATCTGATATCATATCTCACAGTACAATAATATGAATGGGTTGCATTGTTGTATTTTGTCATGTTTCTCAGGTCTTTGTCTGAATTTCTACGAACATTATTGCTAAGGATTGTCTTATTGCATTGGAGTCACACTGGGTTAAATATGTACACTTGGGTTTTAAGGGGTATTTATTATTTTCTTCTTTTTTTGGGTTGTATGGAAGCCCCAAACGCAATTTCATTGTTCTTGACAATGACAATAAATAAATAAATACTAAAATACTAAAATACTAAATACTATTTAGGTCATAGGCTGGTCCTGGTGTGAAGGGTCGCACCAGATGGCCCGGGAGCTTTCGACCTCAGCGTTAATTACAGGAGAATTCCCCGTGGTGCGGCCAGGCTCTAACTGCAGCTTTTTCTCTCTTCCTCTCAGGTGACGAGCAAATGAGGAGCTACCTGAATGCACAACCAAACCTGACAAAGGATGACTAGACGGCGATAAAAGAAAGGCTTCTTTATGCTCCCAGTCATCCTCCCCAAGATCATCATCATCCTCCTCCTCTTGGCTCCTGCTGCTCTCTGTTTTTTTACAGCCTCGCTGAGGTGACTGGAAAGAGGGAGCGTCTTGCCCCTCCTTCTAAACCACAGCCCGGTGAGAAGGTGCTCAACCCACCCTCCACTTGGATCGTGTCCTCCTCGCCTCTGTGAGGATCCTCTGAACTTTTGCAGGCCAAGACCGCCGTAAGCCCTCCTGATGCTAAACTACTGAATGCTGACCACGAACCTGCCCTGTCTGTCTGCCTGTCTGTCTCTTATCGGCTGTCGATCTGCAACAAGTGCCATCGCATCATTACATTCCTTCGGATTTGCACTGACCGCCAACAGCCCTCATCACTAGCTATGTTTACATGCATTCAACTAAGCCACGCATGCTCTGCTGAAGCTAAAGCAGCTGCAGGAAAACGCAGCAGCGGTGCAGGCGTTGTTTATCTCTTTAAACAAGTGACTGATGTCGCATTACTCATCACAGTCTCGCCGCAGTAACAGCAGAAACAGCAAATTCAGTGTTTACACCATAAATCCAGTATTTTCACAGTGAAAGTTTTGCCGTGCATGTAAACAAGCTAGAGCCAAAAATGTGTTGCTTTGGGAAAGGTCAGTGAACGAGCCTTAAAGTCGGAGCTTTCACACCTGCAGATGTTTCTTTGAGCCCCGCGTGCGTTTCCACTTGGATGAGAACTCGTTATGTTCGGATTGTTTGTGTCGTTTTCTGTTTATGTCGGATTTGAAGCTGGAGGTTACTGCCTATGATTGTTTCCTAACCGTGATGATGCAGTCTGGGCAATTTAAAGTGGACACTGGATATGTATAGTTTATATAATTTATATTTATAATTTATTCTATTCATGCTTTTTCCAAAAGTCAATGTCATGCTAGTCTTTTGACTGTTTATGTACACGAGAAGCAATACTAAGAACATTTAGAAGAAACCAACCTTTTTGTTCCACACTGCCTTATCAGTGAGCTCGGCTTCCCTTTAAAGAGGTCGCTCTCTGATGGTTGGTTTTGAATTTCTGGACACACCACCCACCCACACAGGGACCGAGTCGCTCTTAATGGTGGATCGCAGTCCAATCATCAGCGGTTACAATAGCAGGCATTGTGAAAAGAGGCCCTTCCTCTCCAACTGCAGATATCCCATTGCATCAGTTTATTAGCGAGGGGAATCAAAATCCCAGACAGGAACAGGAAACGCGAGCTCGTATCGTTGCAAACTGATGAATGAGGAATCCCCCTAAAGAGCTGAAAGAGCTTCATTTCTGCCTGCCGTTTCCATGGGTACACATCTCTCGCGAAGAAAACAAAACAACAATTGTCAGTGAGGGAAGCTATAGCATGTAGCTTGCACATAACACAAGCGATGGTGAAGGGTGAAAGTGATTATTGTGAAACCTCAGAGCCACTAATGGGATCCCAGGTTTTAAGGGGGAAAGATGCACTTTGCAGACCTGGAAGGAACCACAGAAGGCAGAGGATGCACTGACCGTAGCTGAGGAACAAAAGGAGACTCCGAGGCTGTTCTTGTAGCATTGATGTGTGAGCATGACTCACTGGCTGTGTGGGGGTGCTGTGTGGGCTGTGTCCTTGCTGCCAGATCATTAGCTTTAGCTTCTTCCTCCAACTGCGTGGAGCTCTCTGAATGTGATTCTGTCCCACCCGATGTGTTTACACCACCTCCATCTTCTTAACGAACTAAGCTTCTTACCTTCCATTTATTGATCTTCTTTTCCTTTGTAATGTTATCAGAGGACTTTTTGAATACCTACAGTAGAGATATATATATAAAGCTATACCATGCAGCGATTTTAATATATTGTAAATGATGGCTTGGATGCAATGTATTTATTTGTTTGTTACATATTGAAGAATATTCTATAAAGGGAAATTTAAGGCTGCAGTATAATAGACTGAGCCATGTGTCACTGGGTTGGAAACCTTTTCCTGTCATACTGAAACAACACACGCCCCTTTTGCATTAGCTGGATTACGATTGGACGTGTCCCACGTGTAGACACAGAAATAAATGCAACGGGTTGTTTTTAAGACACATTAGTCTCATTGTAAGGATGCAATTTATATTAAGCTCATTTATGTGTTTTTATTTGTAGATTCAAAACCATTTTTGCACATTTAATGATCAGGGATTTCTTTGAGCCACCGCCTCGCACCATCGACGGCCCGGCCTCTCGGCGCTGGCGTGTCGTCGTCTGTCATCCGTAGGAACTTCCGCTCTGATCAGACGAGCCATGGATCGAGTTTCACGTTGCCAAAGTTCAGTTGATTTAGCACCAGTCCGTCCTTTTATCTGTCGTAAATGTATGTTAACAATCACTGAAGTGATGTCTCGAGGAAATGCTTCTTGTCATACAAGAGTCTGTACAAATAAACTCACGTTGAGCAGAAGAGAAAAAAACAAAAAACAGAAGTTATTTTTATTTTTAGAGGACGTCAGTACACGTGTCCGAGAAGTCAAAGGGTATTCTTTTAGAGCTGGAATGTGATGCTCCCGTGGGTGGATGATGGAAAAATGTACAGGTCTGTAAATCAAATAAACCTATTCACACACACGTCTGTGCGTCTCTGTGTGTCTGTAACGCCACGGCCATGTGTGTTCACGGCGTTTGCTTCGTCTCGCTGTGTGAATCTGAGGACAGCTCGCACTGCGGCAGCGCCTCGACTGATATTTAGAGGCTGCGCGTAAACTAGAGCAAGAATCTGTGTGTGTTTAAATAGTGCTTTAATGTTCGGTGCAAGGATCGGTTCTGGCTGGAGTTGCAGATATTAATCTGTAACGTAGTTTGTTTGTAACTTTAATACAAGGATTCAAATATTTTAGGAGGAAAAATCTTTATTAAAAAGACAAGTGAGTGTTTAGTTATTAAGGCTTCAGTTTTGTGCTGCTTGGCAAAATGTTAATAGTGTTGGTGTCACAGAAATGGAGGAAACCCTGTGAGACTCGCTGTCAATCTGTTTAACCTGCAGAACGCGCGCCGACGTGTCTGTTTGCTCATCACTTGCTCATTTCCATGTGTGTCGTATTTGTGGGGAGAGGCTGCTGGAGCGCAGACACCAGACTTTAACTGCATTCTGCTGCAACAAATCAACCTGACAGACGGACCCGGGGCTTACAGTAGTACACAAACTCAATGCCAAAGAAATTGTGAGGAATGTAAATTTAAAGAAAAGTGTGAATTGATTTGAAAATCTCTCAAACCCGGATTTTATCCCCAGTAGATCCCACAAACCACGTCAAAGGTTTGAATGGAGAAAATCAACATTTTAAGAAAGAAGATCATTTTGAATTTGAAAGTTGGCCCGGGGAGATGTTTACTGCTGCGTAGCGTCCCCTCTTCTTTTAACCACAGCCTGCAAACATCTGGGAGCTGAGGAGACCAGCTGCTGGGCTTCAAGGACAGTAATGCTGATTCCTCCACGGTGATGTGGGATTAAAGCTGCTCAACCAGGTCTCCTCTCTGGGTTAGCAGGCAGGTCAGCACCACGCTGTTGTGTAGATGGGAGCACATGTTGCTCTAAAACCTGCCTGTACCTTTGAACTGTGTTTGCAGACTTCCAGAAGTGCTTCTGAGCCCATGCAGCGATTTGCAGCACCGAATCATGACTGTTTTACAGAATCATGCAGTTCAGCCTGATCGCGGTCGTCCAGTATTGACTTTCAGCCTTGTCCCTCACACACCGATATTTCTCCAGGTGCGCTGAATCATCGTGCACTGTAGATGATGAGATAGTTACAGGATTCATAATTGTTCCAGAAACAGAAAACAGTTTGTACAGACTGATGAACCTCTGCCCATCGTCACGTCTGAGAAACTCCTTTCAGTTTCCTGCTTTTGTTCCTCCTTCCCACCTTGCTAACATCAAAATCAGCTGTTACTTTACAGAAAAGGGTTCATTCTCTCAGATCAGACGTCTGACACGTTTGTTATTCTCATTAAAGTCTGAAAGTCATCACATTCTGTTTTTATTCACATTTCGCTTCTGCAATCGAAACTATTGTATGAGCATAGTCCTTTGATTCTTGTTGCTGCTTTCTGTGAACCATCTCTGCTTGTAAATGAATCCACTTACTGTGCTATAGACCCATCATTAGCCCGCCTGCTACATCATTCAGCAGCAGCGTATTTTGTAAACCTTATAATAAAATGTCACCTGGCTTTGTTCACCAAAGGATGAGTCAGATCGAAGGCATTTAAACGATTTTATTTTGAAATAAACCTACATCCTATCTAGTTCCACACGCCTCATCTTTGCTTACAAAGACTTGATTTTCATCACAGCGAGAGAAGGCAGGAGCTGATCCGTGAATGAACCACTGTATTGTTCAGGTGCAGTGATGCAGGGCCCTGTAAGACTGTTCCCAAAGTAATTTTGCAGCCCCGAGATTGGTTTACAGACACGCTGACACATCACAGGTCTCCATCCGTGCTGTGCATTCTGTAGAAAAGATATATATATATATATATTTAACTTCCCGGGAAGTGAGGACACCTTCACCAAAAGGTCATCTCTGCACAGATGCTTATTAGAAAGGGCAGCTCCCTCACATGACTGCTAATGGCGCCAGTGGACGGGTCTATGACAGGGCTGTACAAGCACAAGGAGTAAGTACACGCTGCTTTTGTGACAAAAGAAGACTTGAGACGTTGTCTGGGAGGCCTTTAATTAGGCTAAACCACAGTTAGACCTCACTATCTGATTCGACGTCAGGAGTCCGAGCGAGCTCCAAGTGGAGATTTAGTGTTTAGTTGGCGAACGACCCAAAGAAACCAACACCCTTTCCCACAGTCAGACAAATATGTACCCCAAAGTCTGATGTTCTGGTCTCAAAGTCAACACACCTAGCCATATACAGCAGGCAGGAAACACAGGGGCGTAGACAGGAAAAGGGAACCATTCTAGCAGCGCTGGAATTTCCATCTGCACTTTGCCCACTTACACTCACAGAGGACGACACACGGGGCAAGTTCAGGTTCACAGCCTCCAAACTGTCGGCACATCCATTTCATACAAATACAGAAAGATCATCAGAATAAGTTCACTGCTGTAGAAATACATAAAAATCCTGTTTGTCATTCTGTTTGTTTCTTTGCTGGTTTTCTGTGAACCTCACAGAGCTTTGATCTCCAAACTTTAAATTAGTCTTTGCAGTCGAACGCTGTAAGAAGCATCATATTCTTTTAGAGCATTGATGAATGCCAACAAGTTGAAAACACAAAGAGCTTTCAATAAAGACCTGAAATAGTTTCTGTGAATGAAATCTAAGACACGGCGGCGTGGCGGCACGGCAGCACGGCGGCGTGGGTTCTCCCCGGGTCCTCCGCCTTCCTCCCACAAAGACACCAGTTAGTGGCTTTAGGTTCATTGGAAACTCTAAATTGCCCACAGGTTTGAATGTGAGCGTGAATGGTTGTCTGTGTGACACCCCTGTGACAGACTGGCGCCCTGTCCAGGCTGGACCCCGCCTCTCGCCCTCAGACAGCTGCGATAGGCTCCGGCCCCCGCGACCCTGACCAGGATAAGCGGAAGAGAACGGATGGATGGAAAAAGTGGAATCTTGGCAGTCACTCGAATCAGGACACGACAGGTTTGCTGTGGGGACGATCACTATCATATTTGATTCCTCTTAGACTCTGTTGAATATGACGACTCGTTCTGCAAGACACGTGGCCTTTCTGACATCGGATGCCACAAATGTCCCTGCTTAACTGGAATAAGGAACAGCCGACAAAAATAACAGATGTTACTATATGTGAAGCAAAGTGTGTGTTTTCCACAAAACGGTCGACTGCATAGAGCAGTCAGGTCTGATGATTAAGACTAAAATAAAGCTTAGAATAAAAAAAGGAAAGAAAGCAGATCTTTCATCTCAAATGGAGCCGAGAGTTTTTATCAGAATACGTAAACCACAGCTGTTTACAGTCTGTCGCCTCTGTGAGTCTCTCACTTCCCTCTGCCGACCACCCGCCGTCCTGACCCGGCTCACGCTGCCGAGGCACGGTCACCTTCATCCAAACACGATGACATCGTCATTTTTAAGGTCATCCTGGATGTATCTGCGAGGCTGTCAAAGACAATATGTTTGCTTTTGAGCACTGAATTCGACTCTGCTCATCAGTTCACATGTTACATGTTCCTCACTTTACCATTTCTGTGTGTCGCAGATGCTTCTTCTAACATTACAGGACAGGAGGAGCTGCGAGTACAAAAGGATTAAAAACTACAAATAACTCTGTGATGTTTGAGCAACTGAGGCAAAAACAGCTGACTGCTCCATCACAAGTTCACTTAAGGCAGAGAGCTGTTCAGTTTTCATCCGCTGTCATTGTAAAGGCTCCGTGACTAACAGAAGAAGAAGTAAATGCAGTGTATTTATATGACAGTCATATCCAACATCATCATGCTTTTCTTCTGCTATGACACAGGAAACAGAGATGGAGGGTTTTAAACTCTTTGTGCCAGAAATACACCGACTGCTCTGTAAGTGACACGTCAGTGTTGTCATTTTGAAACCCTAAACTTTATTTGTTTTAGTTTCTGACACTTTGATCCAGTTTGCTGAACAAAGGCAGTGATGAGCCTAATATTCCCTCCACAACTTTAAAAGGAGTAAATGAGCGTTTTACAGCAGCATAGTCACAGCCCTGTTTAAATGAGATAACACACAACCAGGTTTGTTCATCTATTAACAAATATGTGTTTGTTTAATAATCATGTGAGGATTTCCATCCTGCACTGTGCTTGCAGTGGGAAGCTGTTACTGTGCGGTGTGATGAATGATTCGTTTGGTGTTTGGTGGACTTTGTTTCCTTTCAGACTGAGAACATTTCTGATCACGTTAAAGGAGCAGATAAGTCTTCCTATGCTTTCAGATTATGACTCTCAGATACTGTTTATCTGCAGAAGACGAGCCCTCCATTTCTTCTGTGTCCTCTCTGTAGTTTCCTACATTTTTATGAATACACTGCACACGATGTTGAAATGCCCGACTCTCAGCTTGCACCAACAAGAATCACATCGTTGGTGCAAAAACACTGTTGTCATTCCACAGAAAGAAACAGGAGCAAATGATGTGTTTGTGCAACAGGCTGCCCAAAGCCCCATTTTTAAATCGGCTAAAATAAGCTGTATGAACATGTTATTAGTTCAATTCAATTGTATTTATATAGACAAAAGTCGCAATAAGACGCTTTATTATTAGAATTCATCCCGTCTCCAACAAATCCCATAAAAGTCCAACCAACAGCCTGGAGTTCATCCTGGCTCTGTGTCTGAGGTTGTGTTCAAGGATGTTTTGACCTGACCTGCAGAACTATCACCGACGTGTAGCTGCTTCCTACAGACCCACACAGTCACATTTTATAAGATATTTTTGAACAGATGTGCAAGAATCGATCTTTGAGGTACAGCATACAGCAAAATTAAATGATCGAAGTTAAACATGGAAGTGTGGTTTATTGTTTAACACGCAACACGTGTGAAATTATTATTTGCTAACTTTTAAGACCTGCACATTGGTTGGCTGGCTTGAGCGATGCTCTTCCTCTCCTCTACTTTGGACTTCATGGATGTTTTTAGCCCTGTGGAGCCGGCTGACCTTCAGCTGTCAGAGTCTGCATTAATGCATATCTCTGCATGTGTTATTATGCGATTAAAGAAGCTGACACATGTTCGAGGGAAAACACGAGGTGCCCTCCTGCCCTCATGGAATGAATAAGAGATGTCGGTGGGCTCAGCAACGTCAGTGAAGGAGTAAATGATTCAGGAACACGTGTCAAGAACATGGCAGGAAGTGGCCATGCTTGCTGTCTTTGGAGCAGACGTCATTACCCCACAGCCAGCTATGATGATCACTCCTCGCTTCCCACCGGGCCTTGAGACTGTAACTTCATCTCAAACTGTGTCAGTGACGTCCCCGCTGGGATGAGGGATTAATTTGATTTGCATGCTTACTAACAAGGATGAAATGCAAATTGACAATGAAACAGTGTTACTGCAGTGTGCTTGTTAAGCACCACAGTGGGTTCAGTGTCACGGGTGAAGCAAGAGTGAGTTATGAATACCAGAGTTTTCTGAATTAAACATGAGTTTATGCTTGGCCTGCAAAGACTGGATGATGGTGCTATTTTTAATCCCACGATTCCATATTTAGAGCTGATGTTTCCACTGCAGCGTGAACTGAGGCTATTTATGCACACGCCCATGTGTGTGGGTAGCATCTGCATTCATCGCTCCCACACAAGAAGCAGAGGTGTGGAAGCAGCTTTGTGAATGATTTGTGTGTGGAGAAGTGAGAAAGTGCCGACCACAGTGTGGAGGAAGGCAAACTACACGGAGTAGCTACACACACACAAACAGGTGCATGCAAACGAGATGACAGAGTAAATCGCTCACACCTGCAGTACCACACCTCTTCTACTTTAAACGGGGTCAGACACCAAATGAGAGGATATCTGCTGCTTTGTGTAGTCAAATGAAACATGTTTGATGTAAGGAACATATTACACACATAGCTGATGTGCACATCCCTGGGTGCTCCAACTGGGCTGGATCAGCCATGCTGCAGTATACCTACAATACCCACAGTCCCATTTGTCAAGCTGGTCGACCCTTTAGGAACAGCAGCCGCTGGTCTGGCTCTTGACTGAATGGCTGCTCTGAATGTTTGTACAGATATCAGATGAAAATAAACGAATCCTGATGACGACCTTCTGACTTTCCCTTTAACCCTCTCAGGCTCAAATTAGACTTTTTGTTGCTAATGCACAACCAAGTCCTGCAGTGGTACTTCTGAGTAAACAAAACTCATAAAATATGTATGTGGGGTAATCAGGTTGTTCGTTATAAACTGTTGTAAATCTGCAACGCCTGCCTGGAGAGGGTTAACACTGACAGTGGCACTAAATCACTAAACCACTGGAAAATATAGAAATTCAGTTTTCCTAACGTTTTCTCTATGATCACATTTCTGCAAAGCAAATGATTTCCATCAGACTCAGTGTTCCCAGATGCTAACAGCTAATCCATATATGTCAGAATACAAACAGGTTACACTTTTCCAGTTGTTTCAGCACGATGTCATTACAGTTACAGTGGCTTTTGTAGTGTTACCGATGGCTGAATTTCCACCCATCAGGTTGGTTTTTCATATTTTGCATGAAATTTGTGAATGTCTAAAAATCAAAGTCCATATTTGAATAAAAAATAATCCTTCATTTTTACCTGTATGCTACCAAACTGACATAAGTCATTCTTATAGCCCAACATTAGTCCTGCCCAGCGTTTAGCTGCATTATAGATGCACAGCTGAGCCCAGCTTCCTGTCTTTGCTGTGGGCTCACACTTTCCTCGGCTCTTACTCAGCCAGAGAATAAAGAGCTGAGACATGTTAACCACAAAGAAACGGATGTCACTGAGCAAAGACTCAAATGGAGCCAGTACATAATTCAGAGTGGTTAGTGACCGACCAGGCGTTGCACGCAGGCCGACAGCGATGGGAAGCTGACTGCACATCGCCACACAAGCTCTGTGGATTTGAAACTGCTTTATGACGTGAATTCAGAAGTTAATGTGGATGTACAAATGTGGTGCCCACTGTTCAGCAGCTGTTTCAGTGGGACAGTTGTTTAGAAGATAATTATTCACATGAAATAATCCCTTGGTTGACTTGGACACAAATTTGAGGAGCATCAGTTGCTTCACTTAACCCTGTTTTCATGGCATCACCACATCCAGCGTGCTGCACGTCCACTGACCTCCCTCTTTGATTTTACCGCAGGAACAGCTTCTCTGCCTGTTCACATATGGCGCTAAGAGATTTCGTTTTTTCTCGGAGACTTCAGGAAATAGACGTGAATGCTATGCCTACACAGACGCCACATTCCAAATTCCTCAAATGCTATTCAAAGGACATGAATGACATCACACGAGGAAATGTGGCAGGACAGAAAAATAAGGAGGACAGGAAATATTGCTTCGTGCTAAACTTGCTGAACTTTACCTCAGTGAGATCTCGCTGCTTATGTCGACATAAACACGCGTCTGAGAGGTGCTTAATTAAGTGAAGCATGTTAGATAGCAGTAAGTGCAACTGATAAAGAAAAGGGGACATGACGAGTGTGACGTACTGATAAGAAGAGGACGCCATCACCCATGCTGTCAGTCAGTGTTGCAGTAAAACACCTGAGTGAGCCTCATTTGTAGCTGTAAGCAATCAGAGCAAACCACACAGTCCAAAAGCACAAAATCCTCCATTTCTTTGTTGTGTTGTTGCCTCTACAATTTGTCACCATGAACTGGTGACAAAAATCATTCACTACTTTAGAGCAAAACCCTTTCCTGACAATATCACTGATCAATACGTCCGTTCTGGTTTTGATATGGATACATTCACCTAATGAGATTCATGTGGAGAGGCTTGTTAGGCTATGAGAATGGCAAATGACCTTTGACACAGTCAATAGTGTAGGAGAGTGCTTGCCTGGCTGTCACTTTGACCCAGCTCGTTGGAGCACTTTGGCCGTGTTTTCAAAGCGCTTCAATGATTACAGAACAGCACTGAGTGCTGATTACAAATAAAGAGGAGATAAAGTCAGTGGATCTGTGGAGAGGACATTTGCAGAATACTAGGAGGGGAAAAAGGGCATCTAAATCTGTGAAACAGGCAAAATGCCACATGTTAGCATGCTGTGCAGCCTCGTAGCCTGTGGACAGCGGTGTGGAGACAAAGAGTGGGAGCCAAAACCTGCTCCCACCCAGAGGGGCCGAGCCGAGTGCGATCTGTAAACAGTGATCTGCATTCGCACTGACGCTGAAGACAAATGTCCTGAGGTCAAGTGTATTCAAATCCATATTAAATGAGACGGTTCTTAATTCTGCTGAGGAAGAGGATTCAGTTTACGTGGCTCCTGATAACGACGGACACGATAAAGGCGTCACCATATCGCTTCTGTAAATGCTAACAGTGAGGCTGGCTCCTTGGGAAGTTTGTCTCGGCCCAAATCCAGTGGGAGAATCATCGGATGTGGTGGTAGGCGGCAGCACAACAGAAGCCTCGTGGGACTGAGGGATTTATGGGATGTAGGCAGCAGGGTAAGAACTCTCTGCCAGACACCAACTAAACATTAAATATGCATGAGAGCAGGCAGTCTGCACTGCTCTCTGACCATATGTAGGTAAAATTGATTAACATGCTCTGATTGGTTTGAAACAGTCAGGTGATATTCCCATTTCAGCTGAAGGTTGCTGGTGATGCTATTGGTAGATACTGGCCTATCGCAGACATTTGAATGTGGCTGTCCAACATATGTTAACACTGAATGTAGAAGATTCACTGGTTTCAATGAATCCATGTAGAAATGGAGTGATTCGATTCACTGTCATTTATACAGTGCCAAGTCACAACAGTCGCCTCAAGGTGCTGTGTATTGTGCAGTAGATCCTACAATTATACATACAGAGAAAACCCAACAATCACATGACCCCCTATGAGCAGCACTTTGGCGACAGTGGGAAGGAAAAACTCCCTTTTAACAGGAAGAAACCTGTTAAAAAATACATATTAAATGTGACATATATGACTATGGGACCAAAAATCCAGTGTGATCTATTCAATGTAACAGTTTTTATAATACGTTTGATATGCCCACATACCAAACAGCACTTTAACTACTTATTTATTGTCACATTGTCAACAATTTATGACTTAGATAAAATACACTCACTTTGAAAACATGATTTGATTGAACCCTGTGTCAGATTTCTGGTTAAATACTCAGGCTAAACCCAAACATGACATGACAAGGATGACGAGACTCGCAGGGTCTAAACATTTGAATACAGGAAAATCTAGAGTGAGTGTCAAAGCCTGCTATACACCTACAGACTCAAGCAGGACATTTACAGGACGACACGCATCAAACATGCTGAAGTGATTCAACAGGAAGATATTTTTAGGCTGTATGCAGTGCTGTTCAATTTGCTCATTAAAATGCACACTAAGGGCTCGCAGGCATCCCAGCGGTTTGCACAGTGCATGGTTTCTCAGGACCAGGCTTACAGGAAAGATCTTTGAGCTCCCCCTTGTGGTAGCAACTGTAACTATTTTATTAGTGATAAACGTTATGAGTGATTTTGTTTTAAATTTTACATCCAAACGTTTTTTTCTTCAGCCGGGGTAATAAACTGATCACTGATCAATCCTGAGCAGACTCTGCACCACCGCCTGGTCAGGCAGACACATCATTCTCATGTTTATGTGAGCCTGCACCTCCAAAAGCTAACTTTAAACGTGAAAAACAGTTTCGTAGCTTTCAAGTTTAAAGGACAAGAAAGAAAGAATCTCAATATGCTTAGAAAAGCTTGTTTACTTATTTTCATAAAATTAAACCATGTAAAAGGTCAACAACATAAAACAAACACTTAAGGAATGGGTATTCACGCCACAAGGCCTCAGAGATGAAGGACTGGGGTCATTTCAAAATTCGATTGAATTTCAGTCCAAAAGATTTGAATTTAAACAGTGTGGAGATCAAGGACAATTCTGTGTCCACCTCCAGTCTAATTCAGTTAATTCAAGAGGCTAAACTCAAATTTGGGAAGAAGTCCGGTTGTGAATCGACACCAACACTAGATGACGGCGAACAGCATAAAAAAACTTCACAGAGGAGGAAGAGAAAGCATCGTCTTCATTACGAGGTGTCCATAGCAGCTGTTTCTGAAACATAAGAACATCTGTTCATCATGTCATGTCAAACCTGCATATTTACACAGAAAGAAAACCGAGCGCCTTCTTTTCCAGCACGACTGCAGCACTGAGTTGGGATAAACGCCGTTTCACAGCGTTTTTCTCCTCAGATCACTTTTAGTATTCTAAACCTAAAATCTACACTAGTTACTCCCACGAGGGGTGAAAACCAGCATTTAACTTGTGTGAACGCACGAGCTGCTGATACAGAGAACGAACAGCAAACTCACGTGTTTCATTAAAGAGGAAGGAATCCTGATACTCCTTCATGTACTGAGAGGATCTGGCCTCATCCAGGAACAGAGAGTAAACTCTTTTAATGTCTTCTACCTGAACCTCTGTGCCCTGCAAAAAACAAACGGCACCAACAGAGTCAACGTGACAAAACGAAAGAAGCAATGGATGTGATACACGTGCAGCTGCTGAAGTCGTTCACATCGAGCTTACCTTGCGTTTACGACACACCAGCCCTGCGGTGCTGATCAGCTGGATCGCGTAGCGCAGTGACGTTTCCATGCCGATACGAGTGAGGACCGTGTGAGCCTCCTCGCTCAGCTCCACATCCTCCTCCTCACACCTGAAACAGAAACCTCAGCTTTACATTTCATCTGCGGCAGAAGATGGAAGCGTCTGCTGATTATGAACACGCGTTTTTACCGGATCTTCAGGATCTGCTTCGTCTCTTTTTCGGTGTAAGGGGAGGTGGCGATGATGAGCAGCCGATCGAGGAGATCGATGGGGATGCCGTGAGGGCTCTGATAGTTTGTTCCACGGATTCTGCAGGGAGACGAGTGAGTAGCACGTTACTAATGAAACACCCAAATTATTCAGTATTACCTTTACTGAAGCGGAAGGCTGACTGAAAGCAGTACGGTTTGGGAAAACAGTACCGAGTGATGCCTCTGTTGGTGGCCATAATGAGAACTGGGGAGAGGTCACTCTCCAGGGCACGGTTCAAGAAGGAAAAGCACTCCATGTCCAGCATATGCACCTCATCAATAAATAACACCTACAACAAGAGAGAAACGTTTAACAGAAACTCATGAAAAGCAAATAGAAGCATATAAAAACACTCACCCCTGGAATGATCTCGGCCTTTCCTTCTTCCCTCCACTCACACACTTTGGCATTAATCTGCTCGCGGACTTCAGACTTGATCTCTCCGGTGTCTCCAGAGAAAAGAGCCAGGAAGCCTTGTGTGCGACTGTTAATGACATCGATCTCGTGGAGCGACACTGTGTGGACCACCTCTTTTCTCTTCTGCAGCTCTCCCTCAGGACACTGTACAAACTGTGTCTAAAAAGATGGTAAAGAAATTGATTTTAAAATACTGCATCATCCAACAGCACGATCTGAGCGCTGTGACAACAGACCTGAGCTCCCATGGCATCGTAGTCTCTGGCTCTGGTGAAAGAGCGCCCCAACTTGGTGATCTTTCCAGTGGCTTTATCGATGGTGATAACATCTCTGAGAGAAAAGCAACAGAAACGCTCAGAAGACACGAGTCCTGTGCAAGTCTGAGTGATGCTGTAAAACTTCATATAACATTCATATCACATAACAGGTCCTGTAACAAGATCACCTACTGAACTTACCCCGCTTGCACCTTCTCTTTACTCAAACTGTCAATCATCTTGTTGCCCAAGTCGTAGATCGTCTCCATCTCCGTAGTCTTTAGCGTCAACTTGCCCACCTTTGCACCCTGATCCAAGGCACAAACTTCTCAGTAAGTTATATGAAGTATCATAATAATAATAATAATAATGGATTGCATTTATATAGCGCTTTTCAAGACCCTCAAAGCACTGTACACTTCCACTATTCATTCACTCTCACATTCACACACTGGTGGAGGCAGCTGCAGTTGTAGCCACAGCTGCCCTGGGGCAGACTGACAGAAGCGATTACCACTGGTGTGACCTGGGGTTGTGCGATTGGACGAACATGTCGACGACAGGCTCAGCCCATCAGCGATCGTTTTCACAAGGACGATTTATTTATTTGCCCATGAGTAAATTTGCTAATAATGATGTAGCTGCAGAAGTTGGTGATAGCCTAGCATACTCAGCTGCATGGTGGACACGTACGTGCTCATGCAAGTTAGCCGTGTTTGAGTGCTTTGCTCGCACTATACGTCTGCACAAGCCGCACACCGCTTTGGTTACATCCTCAGGTTTCAGGATAGCTCAGTAGGTAAAGTGGTCGCCCCATGAAGGTCGGCGGTTCGAATCCACTTAACGGCTACCCTGAGGTACCCCGGAGCAAGGTACCGTCCCTACACACTGCTCCCCGGGCGCCTGCTTAGTGGGCTGCCCACTGCTTCACTGAGTGAATGGGTCAAATGCAGAGAAAAACAAGTAATTTCCCCATGGGGATCAATAAAGTATCCATTATTATTATTATTATTATTATTATTATTACCTCTTTCACGTGGTTTAAAAATCCCAAATTGGCGACTTCATATTTTTTCAGTGCTGTCAGCGTTAACGTGCCGTCATCACGACTAACGCGATTAACAAGTAACCCATCGGGAGCGCAGACTGAGTCGAAATCCCTAAAATGTCTCTGTCAACGCATTGTCGTGTCGTGATGATTGACACGTTAACGCCACAGCCCTAATTTTGGGGGGAAATTAGTTCATCCCTGTTTGGACTTCCTCTGTGTTGTAAACGTGCAAATCAGTCTGTGCATGACTACATTGCTCCGCCCATCAAAAAGTCTGCGCAGGTGCAAATATATCGCCCATTGTCGATTACTGGACGGACGACTGTAGGCTGGAAAATGTTTACATATCGCCCAACCCTGGTGTGACCAATAAAATACTTCCCAAAGAACCACATAAAAAGACTGGGTTCACTATATTACGAGTGGAAGCTGCTTACCGTTCCTGTGGCTGGTCTGTCAATCTGGATCTCGACCACCTCTCCTTCAATGATCTCCGTCTCCTCTCTGTTAAAAAACAAAAACAGTTAATAGCAGTTCTTTTCGTATAAGAAGATTTACCAAACTCTATTACAGCATTTGCTCACTCACTTGATCCTTACTCCGATGGCTTTTCTAAAAGCTTGGCTAAGTGCCTCAGTCTTGCTCATCTCCAGGGAGAAGATCTCACTACCAGCCAGTGCTGTAAAGGGTGTATCAGGGCCAAGAGACTGGGCGATGCCTGCATTGGAAAACCCCCCAAAATCAAAAACAAAGTCTCAGCTGAACCCACACTCTGCCAATCAAGCTGGGAGCAACAAAAATGTACCCTAAGCCAATCCCATCAATCCAAGAAACCAATATCTCTTCTAGCTGGGGCTAATATTATGTTCTGGAGGCTTCCAGTGGAGATCTTACCCATAGCAATTGCAGTTTTTCCTGTGCCAGGCTGGCCAGCAATCAGTATTGCCCTGCCAGCAATGTGGCCATCTTTGATCATCTCCAAGATGACTCCTGCGGCTCGACGGGAGGCCAGCTGGCCAACCATCCCCTGAGACACCTGGAATTGAACATAGACATGTAAAAGGCACATCTCCTCGACACAGACACAGAATATTTAAGTCACAAATCCATTACATGCCCCTTAAGAAAGAGAGAAAAAAGGCATTTAAAGACTTAACGCTACCTGTCTTGGTTCTAAAGCATCATCCAAACCAAGGCCACGAATGTGAGAATGTGCACCTAAACAACAAGGTGAAAACAGATAAAATAATGTGAGTCACAGGAAGTAAAAAAACTCAAAAATCAGGTACCATGTGCACCTATCACAGCACTATCACACAGTAACCAATCATCATGTGTTTCCGGGTCTCAGTCATACCAATTCTCTCGATTCGTGTGATGTCACGAACCTCTGGAACCTTTGTAGTTGCCATCTGTATTAAAAGCAGAAAGATCATTCATTAATCACTATAGAGTGATCCTGCCCGGTTTCCTACCACTACTTTTACATTTAAAAACAGGCATTTCGCAGTATTAGACCTTCAGACTATCCCACTCCATGTCAGAATGTCAAACAACAGATAAAAAAAAAAAATTGCTCCAGCAAGAGATTCAAATATTTCTACTGACGTTTTAACGACATACAACCCAGTCACTATTAAATAAATGTTAAAAACCAAAACACTTTGGTGATAAGACTACCACAACATTAAGTAGTTAGATTGTCAAACAATTAACACTTTAAAGAGCCCGTCCTGGTCAGTTGGTTGTCATAGTGACAGAGTTGAGCGCATGCCACAACAGAGTAAGAACAGTGTTAGCGTTACGTTAGCCTGGTTTCTAAGGCTTTTTATTCTTCATATTTTTACTTTTTCATATAAGCAACGGGAAGCTCGGGTATCGCCATAACACAGATTTAATAATGTGGTACACGAAATCCACAAATCTCGTTTGGCGCCAAGTAAACAGAGCAAGGATAGTGCCAAGTAATGCTAACGCCAGCTAATGTTATGTTAGCAAATTAGCTAGCTCCATTCAAAGCTTTCTTCTTTGAGTAACTCCTGCTTAGCAAGACGAAGACGTGATGTTCGACAGAACATGGAAGGATGATCCTACAGGACACATCGTGTAACACCACGGTGCGAAAGCCTGGAGTTAACACTGTTTATATTGATCGCATGAACACTCACCTGTGCAGCCACACTTGCGAAAATGTGAGAATGCGGCGCTTCTTTCTAATGGTGCGCAGATTAAAAGCGTCCGTACAGAAACAGCTTCTTTTCTTTTTTTTCCCCCCCTGCTAGGGGATGTTTGGGTTGACTGCCCTCTATGGACTCGATGGTAAAAGGACAGCACGAGCTTGTGATTTACAGGGAGTGGCAGGAAACCTTACCGGTGTCCTGGATTATATTATGGACATTTGAATCCGTGTAGCCGTTTCAGTCCAGAGTGGTTAAACTGTGTGCTAGGCTCCCTTTAACTCCCTTTTCCACGGACGGGCTATTTTGTTGCAAGAAGAAAACGTAAAACCTTTAATATTTACTGGTGTAATGTGCTGGGTTACGGAACTGAGATGTTGTAGAGATGTCAATGTCATACTGTACGTAAGCTGGACCAGCCAAGGAAGCACTTTGCTCTGTTTTAGTTACTGTTTGTACACGCTAACAGCAGAAGCTTTCACTTCAGCCACGAGAAAAAACCTGCTCAAACTTAGTACTGCAGACGTTTGTCCACCAGAGGCTGCAAGAGCCCCGAGTTATATTAAAGGTTGAAGAATTTCGAAGTTGAAGCCAAAGTTTTTGCAGAGTGGTGTTGATGATGCAGTAGGCCGGATAAACAGGCTCCGCTTCATTCATCTTAGTGTAAAAGCCTCTTTCATTTTTTTAAACTGAGAAATATTATAATCCAAACTATGGAGATGAGTTTGAGATTTTTATTGTCGTCTTTGTCTCAAGCTCAGCTTCATATTTGCAAAAAGTAATTTTAAAAGCTTACAAATCAAGACTGCAGTATTATTGAACAATGGGAAAGCCTGCCTGCTGATTATAATCTCAAGGTTTCTGGAGGGGTTTTCATATCCTCTCCACTAGACCTTTCAAGCTCCACCTCAAGGCCCAGGCCACAAACTGAAGTCGCTTTATTTAAACATCACAGCAGAGCGACTGCTGCACGGTGAAAGGTAAATTTCGGTGCTCCTGAGTTGCTACACTAACTCAGAACAATTTTTATTTCATTTTAAACTTCGATAACAAAACCAAAATAAATAAATAAAAGAATAAATAAATAAATGAATAATAAATGTAAAAAAACTAAACTAACTCAGAACTTTTTACTGAAGAACTTGACGATACATTAGGACTCAGTCATACTTCCACTCAGCTGAACGAGTCTTAAGCGTCACAGAAACCTCTCAGGTACACCTCGCCTGTTCCTGTAGAGTTCCTTAATGACCTCTCAGCTGCTTTTCAAAACACTGTGCTTTAAGCACACACAAACACACCATCTCCTCCCAGTCCACACTCAAAGCTGGGTCTATTTTACATTTGCTTATTAAATAATTGCACTGTGAGTGACGTTGCTAATGGCAGGAAATGTCTGCCTTTTAAAGATCTTACAGATCTGGCTCAGAGCTGATTAGCTTGAAGAGTGAGTTAGGAAGCTCGTCATCGTAGAAGAAATGAGAGGAAAAAATCCGCATCACAGCTCATGCTTGTTACCAAAAGTTTATTTGATAAAAAAAGCAAAATATCACAAATGGTCATCACATTGTACAAGGTTCATTATTTTGAATTATAGTGTAAATATGCATATACTATATTATTTCTGAATTAGTAAATGCTCATTGACTTTCTGCAACTGATTTTACACTGAACACATGTTGATTTGCTGAATATTTGCTCTTCGAGCATCGTTTCCCCCATCAGCACATATCGGATACCAAACAAAACAACGATCTAATATCAGAAAAAAAGGGGGAAACAAAAGCATATTTTCTCACAACAGCAGTACTTTGCATCATTCCACACCCACTGATCTTTGGATGTGTTACTTAATCACAGCTGGATAATGGTAATGGCTGACTCATACCAAACCCAGAAGCCTGGATAGACAGGTTCACTAAAGGAGGCATTAAAGCGGTGGATTAGAGACATGGTTTCCCCAACAGCGTAGAATGAGAGAGTACCCCCGGCGTGATCCAGGAAAACGCCGATGCGGGAGGAGTAGGGCGCGCTGACCTCTTGCTGGTCCTTGTTGTGGCGGGCTGAGTAACTGGAATCAGAGCAGAAAAGGCTCCATGACTTGCGGTTGTAGCCGATGCGGCAGCTGTCACTGTAGCCCGATCTCTTGATGCCTTTGTAGGCGATGCCGATGGAAGCCCCCTCCCCACTCCAGTCTACCTCCCAGTAGTAGGTGCCTCCAGAGAGGGGCTCCTTACACAAGACCTGTGGCAGGGAGTCGAACCTGGCAGGGCTGTCAGGGTAGGACTGGGGGTCTCTCTTGAGGGCAGCTTTTCTGTTCCCTCGTGACAAGTAAAGCTGTCTGTAGGCTGTGTTTTGGTCCAGAGTGAGCTGGCAAGCATCTAAAGATGGGTGGAAGACAAGTTCATTGTTTACTCGACAATGCTTAACTTAAATCAGTCTGGGATAAACGTAAATGAGGAAAGCAAATAGCCAAAGCATCTGTCCTACAGCAGCTGAAGCACCCCACTCCAAAGCAGCAGCAGAACGTCATCGACATCTCAGTTAAACTTCTACTCACTGCGGTAGAAGTTTAAATGACTTCTGCAAAACACACTTTGAAGGAAAAGCAAGAGACCCTCTGGCTGGACACGGAAATCAGAATAGTCACCTGACTGCTGTGTACCTCCACCTCTGCAGGTCACAGCTGGTGGGACACCCGACGCCCTCGGCTAGATCTGCCCGGCCTATGATCTGGAACGCCAAAGGTATCAAACACTGTTTGTGAGTTTGACCACAAACAGAATTCCAGCAAAGACCTTTTTCAGCTGTGACGTGAGTCAATGACTATGCAGTTTCTCCCAGCGCTAAAGTTGAGAGGCCCCAAAGATTTCTGTTGAAAGCTGGATTAACCTCCTGAGACCGTGTCCTCATATGGGAACATTACATTTAGACTTACACTCCATCTTACAAAATCAATATTTTACACTCTGTTAATAATGACCATAAAACTATATTGTGTTATGCTGCCAAACAAACCCACTGTCTCTATATCGAGGACATACTTTTTAATATATTTATGTATTTAAAAACCTTTCTGTTCAAAGGCGATGCTTCTTTTTTTACTTATTGGCTTCGAGAAAATTTGGAGAAATGAAAAATGCATCCCAAACAAGAGCTCGTGTTGCAGGAGGTTAAAATGCAGCTTAAGTAAAGATGACATAGCTGTGCAATATTTGCAGTGAATCAGTCCCAACCTCTGTCAACACTGTAGGACTAACAGTAGCTTCTAAGAGCAGATTTTGTGGTCAGCCACAGGGTCTGACAGAGAACCTCGTCAGCATCTAATATGTGTCATGCAGTGAACTGAGCAGAGAGAACGGTGAACAGTGTGGGTCAGAGCAGAGACTCACATCTCAGGAAGTCCTCCCTGTACTGAGGCTCCTTGACTGGCACAGACTTGTACACGGGAGCTTCGTCACCTGTGAGAGGAAACACAGAAAATGAGACAGAGTTGTGTGTCAGCAGTTTTTAATGTGCTGCACCTGAACAGCTAATACGTGTGCAGGAGGTCACGTTCTCGTCACACTATCAGTGATCAGGCAAACACCTCGTAAAGCAATCTAACAGGAGAATGGAAAGAACTGAGGAAACAGGGCCAGATGATGAAACGCCTGAGCGTTATGACTCAACACCACATCTCCTGGCTTTAGCCTGACTCTGTGCTAAAGTTGTTCCGCCCTCATTCATTGTTGTGTGTATGAGCAAGTTGTGAAATGATGCTCTTGAAAGACTGACTCACTTTTTATTGATTGATATTGTTTCTTCTTGGAATCCTCCAGCTCACAGAAGGTCATTTTGTTAACTGCAAATACAGAAAAACCGCTCAGTCATCGTGCTTTCTTCATATGTTTGAAATAACACAGTGAGATTACAGCAACATCACACTGCAGTAGTCAGATTCCCTGCTGCATCTGTTCTGTGAACATCGAGACGTCAGTCTTCACGCTCACCTGTCTTGGCTACCTTAACCAGTTCGTCATTGCTGGATTCATTCAGTTGCTGTTTCAGCTCAGAGACGGCTTTGGTCACCGGGCCGAAGGAGAAGTACGGGTTGACGCTCACCGACGGCAGCTCCTCGGCCTCTGTTTGTGCTATCAGCATGTGGTAACTCTAACAACAATATAAAAGTAAGATAACACTGATTCTGTCAGATTATATTTTTATCTTTATGAACATGCCTTCCTGAGCCGCTGGCGGCTGCCAGTTACCTGGATGAAGTGGATGTGGTCCTCGGTGCGAGACAGCTGGGTGATCTCGTTGTCTCTCGCCTTCAGGTCAGCGATCTCATGACTCAGACGCTCCAGATGGCTCTCTGCGTTGTTGAGTGCCGCCCGCTTGTTGGAGGATATCAGCTTTGCCATCTCTTGCTGCATCCTCTCAATGGAGCGCATCATGTCGCCAAACATCTTCTCACATTCCTGAAGCGCCCTCTGGGCTGAGTTCTGCACAGGAGACATTGGAGTGTGTCGTAAGGTGAACTGGTGTCGCACTGGTTTTTACGATGACACACTTAGAAGAAGGAATGCTGTCAGTGCTGTTAGCTTCCGCTCAGCCTGTAGCGGTCAGAGTGCTCGTATCTGTCTGATGGATGATAATGACGGCACAAACCTTGAGAGAGTCCACCGCGTGTTTTAGTTCCTCCATCTGTTTCAGGCGATCGTGAATCCTCTCCTGGATCTCAGCCTGGGTGGCACCCAGCCGTTGCTATAAGACAGTTGAAACATTGATGATTATTATGACAAGAGCTTTACGCAGAAGTAACTCAAATATATGAAATCGTCTAAAAAAAATTAGCTTAAATGTTTGGCTTTTAAGTTCAGGGGTCCAGGTTCACTGGACGCCAACACCTTTATCTTTGTTTGCATGAATGGGCGTTTATTGTTGCTGCTCTTTCATGCTTTGCTCCCCACCCTTTAACTGCTGTAGTGCACCGTGTTACAGCTTTAATACGGAATATTTGACCCTTATTTCTCACACGTTTTAGCGTTATTGTTGAACCAAAGGAGGACCGGTACGAGGGTGTTGCCTACCTGTTCCTCAGATCTCTCCTGCTCAGCTGACACCATGTCGTGGCCCTTGTGTTCTTTCACTGTGCACAGCACGCAGATACACATCTGGTCGGTGCGACAGAACAGCTCCAGACCCTTCTGATGCTGCGGGCAGATCTGCCTGTCCAGGTGGCCGATTTCATCCACCAGCTTGTGCCTCTTAAAGGTGGCCGACTCGTAGTGGGGCTTCAGGTGCTTCTCGCAGTAGTGCGCCAGACACATCAGGCAGGACTTGATGGCTTTGTGCTTCTTCCCAACGCAGATGTCACAACCTACATCCTGGGGTCCAGCGACGTTGTAGTCGGGGGACGGAGGTGGAGGCGGAAAGGACTCCGAGTTGCGTTGGAGCGTGGAGTTCCTTGAGCCTCCGATGCGCCTCGGAGTTGGCCTCTTGCTGTAGGAAACCCTGCACTCCGGGCAGTTGAACGAGCCGGTGTGTTCAGCATGATCCCAGTATGTCTTCAGGCAGATGGAGCAGAATACGTGGCCACATGGGATGGACACAGGGTCCCTGAGATATTCCTTACAAAGGTAGCAGGTGTCTTGGTCAAAAGACATGGAGGCAGTTTGCTTCTTTTCCCTCTAACGCCGAGAAGATGATGTGAAGTCAGAGCCTCACTTGTGTCAGCACTGTGGCAAAGTGACTGCACAGGTAGTGCGGGTGCAACTTATATAGAGTAAACAGAGAGGGAGGATAAACAGGTTAAGCCGAAACCAGTAAAACAAGGGCGGAGAAAGAAAAGGACACAATGAGTAGATCCACGTGTTACAGAATGCTGAGAAAATGAATGATATGTGCGATCTGAAAATATTTGATCCAAAGAGTTGTAGTTTCCATTTATTACATTTTGACACTGTAAAAAAACAAAAGGTCCAAACTAAGATAGGAAATTTTGAGCAGCAACGATGTGTAATCAAAGGATACCACGTAATATTCACAGGAACTGAAGCATTATTTGTTTTTTAACAGAAGTGAAAGAAAAGCCATAAAACAGGTGTTACACATTTCAGGGAATAAGATGTGTAATAATAAAATAAATAAAATGGCATCAAATGTAAACGAGTAAAACCTTCTGCGAGCTCCGGTCAGATTCAGTCTGTTGGATTTGCTAAAGTTGACTTCACCCGTGACCAGTTAATTATTAACCGCGTTTACTTTGCTTTGCCACTGATTTCCTCTGACAGGATGCCACAGTTCTCATATACACGAACTCAACTGTAACATTTCCACCAGTAAGAAGCTAAAGTATTTAATAATGTATCATCTTCTGCACACACACAAAATCCTTCCCTCTGTATATTTTACTTTACGGCGAACACGCCTCCCGGCCGGAGTTTCAGTGTCAGATAGGAATGCAACTACACTTGATAGCCGAGATAACAGAAGGGCCAAGAAAGCCTGCTTAAAAGATTCCTTTGTGTGAGAGCCAGCAGGGTCTAAACAGCATTACAGGGTCGGCTGTGAACAACAGTAACTGCAGCTGACATGTATGACCACACGTAGCATTTAACCAAAGCTGCTCTGGCTGTGGTTACGCTCCTCACTGGAGGTGATTCAAAACTTTGTGAACTGATATTGGAAAAAGCATCACAAATATCTTTATGTAATCTCTGGTTTGTAAAAGTTACTTATTTTATTTCAAGTTCATTGGCATTCAAAGGATTTCCATCACTCTTCTCTGCAGTTAACTTATTTAAAGTCAGTGTTAGTTTAGGGTAAAGTTACATAGATACTTTTCACAGGATTTCTTTAATTTCATTTCTTATTTTATGCTGAATCATTTTAGGACAGTCTGTAACTTGTGCTCTGTAACACTGCTCATCCGTTTGTAATCTGATTACATGCCAGTGACTTGCAACACACCCTTTTAAACTGACGACAGAACTGCTAGTGATGCAATAGAAAGCATGTCTGTCCTGATGGCAGATTTTCTGTTTTCTGATTTCGTTTCCATAAAACAAAAAAATTTCTTTGTTTGATTCTTTGGAGGAGAAAAACTGTCTGGAGCTACGAGACGATATTTCACTTTGTCATCTGTGCATAGTTTTGTTTTTTCATGCGCCCGTTATCCAGTTCCAGCAAACACAGTGATCGGAGCAAAAAGGTCAAATAAGCATCTGTCAGAGTTTATTCCTTCCATGTGACTCGACCTCTCCCTACAGGGGTGTAGAAACAGAGAGCGCTGAGATCTTAGCTTCTTTTAAAGTTCTCTGACTTTGTGATTCAGTTTTTTCCGCGTTGCTCAAAAAGAGGGCCCTCGAGCATCATGACACAAAGTTCAGCTGTGAGGATGTCAGCATGGGAGCATAAACCATTGTGAATCTTTGGCAGGTTCACTGAAGAGGCGACAACAAGACACCACCGAGGCTTTGCTGCTGGCCACAGACCGTCGCTCTCTCCTTATCCCCCGACTCCAGCCTTACGTTCTGCTGATGTTCTTGTCGTGGCTCGCTGCTGGCTGCAGGTTTCCTTATAAGCAGTTCAGCTGCATCACGACCTAAAATAGCGCCTAACAATGATCGTGTAAGGATTTGATACCGTTCCCTTCTTTTTTTCAGGACTCACTTTCGAGCAAACCAAAACTTTATATCATAACAATAACAAAGGATGTGCACATCTCTACATCCTTATCATTACCACAACAAATGAAAAAACACGGGAATGCAGTTCTGAGCCGCAGAACGAGCTGTTAGACACGTTTTGGATCATCCCTATCTGAGTTATGCATCCTGTCAAGCAACATTTCTTCTGAATCTTGCAACAGTCTTTTTCACTGAAATCTTGTGTATGCACTGATGACCGATGCCTGCATTTTCACTTTTTAAGCTCTCATTTCACTCGTTTCCTTTGATCAAACAGCGAGCGCTCTCCTGCGCTCACCTTGAAGAAACCATGCTCGCTGCACTTTTATAAAGGGTGACCTTTCCCCTTGAACTTGGACTATATATGACTGTGGATGACTGCGGAGTTTCGGTCTGCTTTGTTGGAGAAAACAGCCTGATAACAAGCCTGCCACTCTTTAAAGTGGGCGTCTGCTCAAACCTTAATAAAACTGACTGTAAACACTGTTATGCTTCAGATTGGCTTCCTCGGAGCACGGGATACATTTGACCAAACTTGTGCTGTTAAGTTTTCACTCTTCTAGCAAGCACGCTCATTTAAAACTTTGATTCAAAGATTTTTCCCCTTTGGCAGTCGTGCTGTCCAAAAACAGGTGGTTAATCTGTAAGCACAATGCTCCCTTTACTCTGGAGGAAGGAAGGAAAACTGGCTTATCAGAAACCTGACCAAATACGGAGAGGTGAAACTACCTCGTGTATGAAGTAATGCAAGCTATGAATTGAAGGTGGAGCAAATGTACCTTTTAGAAGCTTAAGATTACTTTGCCATGTGATTGCAGATCAGGCAAACATACATTGCACAATTTTATTTGAAGCTAATTTCAAACAGTGTTTTTTAACAATGTGTACTTTCAAGGTAATTTCAAGCAGGAAACATGCCTGTGAGTTGGACACTGGTGTAAGTAGGAGCAGATTGGGCCTAATTGAAATGCTAATGAGAGGCCGGTGATGTCAGCAGACACTTCACGCTGTGGAGAGAGTCGGGTCACCTCAGGAGTTCTTCCCCTGCTTTGTTCTAACCAGTAATACGTGCAGGAATTATGAGGGGGACATTTTGCATTGCCACGTAACTCGAGTGAAATATGTACACAACTATGCGAGACATCTACCGCAACAACACCTGGACGCGACAGGAATGCGTCTGTTTGAGTATTTGCACCCGTGCGTTTATGTTTGACACGTGAATGTTTTCTTACCACTGAAAACAGAAACCAGCCGCATATCTGCAGATACAAACGGCCACGTACGAGTGAACGGACGAGTCGGGCCAGTTACAGAACAAATATTACAACTTTTAAATGAGTGTTTCTCTGACGACAGATGTGAGCAGAGACGTTTGAGGTCATTCTCAAACCGTGTGCGTGTTTGTTTACTGGGTGGTCCCTGAAATTCCTTCAGTACCTTAGGCTGCATGTATGTTTGTCGGACTATAACCGGTTTAAGACAATGGCGATTCTGTGGGACAACAATAGGTGGAAATGCAGCTGCCAAGAAGTGTGTGCGCAGCTCACCCGCAGATGAGCCACATGAGAAATGCGAGTGAAAGAAGAGGAAGCTGCAGGGAAATGGAAACATTTTCTTGCACATTTATTGTCACGACTTTGGTGTTTTACTTTTCATTCATTCTCTCTTTATTTCTGCTCTCTCTCTGCTCTCCTGTCTGCTCTCTGCTTTGCTCTTTTTTCCTCTCCCTCCTTGTTCAACCTGCTTATCTGAACTGGGCAGGGCCCGATGTACTCACAGGACGGGGGAGGGGCCTTGCCTGCTTTCAATCAATAACCTTTTGGAATTTAGAAATACAAGTAGGTCCTGTCTCTGGCAGGCTGTACCACACTCTCGAGGGCGGGCTTTCAGGCACACTCGACGAAATCCCTATCTCCTCCTGGCATTCTCCCTGACTGTTTCTCCAGGGCTGACTGTTTGGAGTCCACCACAATGGCTGATCACACCTCTCCAGACTACTTCAGCTGCTCTCTGTGTCAGAACCTACTGAGGGACCCTGTGGCTATCCCCTGCGGCCACAGCTTCTGTATGGACTGCATCAGTGGCTACTGGAATGAAGCCGACTACACAGGGATTTACATTTGTCCCCAGTGTAAGATCACATTCACCCAGAGGCCTGTACTGAGGCCCAACGCCACTCTGAGCATGGTGGCAGAGAAGATCAAGAAGAGCGGTCTGAACCTCAACCTCAGCACGTCCCAGGGGAGCGTCTTTGCCGGATCAAACGACGTGCCCTGTGACTTCTGCATCGGGAAGAAATTAAAGGCTGTCAAGTCCTGCCTCAACTGCCTGGCATCCTACTGCGAAAAGCACTTGAAGCCACACTATGAATCAACCACGTTCAAGAGGCACAAGCTTGTGGACGAGTTAGGGAACTTGGACAGGAAGATCTGCCCACAGCACCAGAAGTCCCTGGAGCTCTTCTGTCGCACAGATCAAATGTGTATCTGTGCCATCTGCACAGTCAGCGAGCACAGGGGCCATGACATCGTGTCTGCTGAGGCAGAGAGGGGCGAGAAGCAGGTAAGAATAACTCTCAGTGTCTGTTGATGCCTCCTTTTAACAGACAGAGACCAAGTGAGAGAGAGACTGCAAGCTGAATGTTTTCTTTGATAGGTTAGGAGCACATCCTCTCTGGAATAACTTGAGCTAAAGCAAACAGGCTGTTTTTCTCAATTCCTTCCCCTGAACTGCGACTGGTGATTGTACTTTGACCCATTTCACCAAGGCTATCAGCAACCCTGGCGAGCGTTCACAGCCGCCAAAACAAATCCAGCCCTGTGATTAGCTGGACACTGGCCGGAGGCGTGTCTTACAGGCGTCGTGAAAGCGGCTTTCCAGAAAATGCGGTGATCCAGCTGTGGGATAAACACACAGAAAGTGCAGCCTTCTTTCTGCTGCGCTGGTTCCCACCTGTGGGAGTGAGTGTGCAGCGGTGCAGGAATGTCAGGGAGTGCAGGCACTCTACACCTACATTCAATCTCTGTGAGCAATGTGCATTCAAATGACTCACTTTGCCTGTAACACGCTGTGGGATAGACATGAATGTCAATAGATACTGTAATGTATCAGCTGTGTGAGTAATCAGGGAGTGTTTTTACAGCTAATGCAGGCTAAAGGAGTCCTGTGCCGCCATGAACGCATATTTTATCCCACTGTTGGCTTTACATGGCGGGGAGTCTGGTTTCTCTCATCTAAAGATTTACAACCTGAGTCCAACACATCTCACTCCATCTCCCGCTCCGTCTCCCCTCCCCCTCTCCTGTTGATTCCCCCTCCCTGGATTCCCCACATTCCTCAAGCTTATCTTGAAGAATGGGTTGGTGGGCTCGAGTAAAAGCTGAATTAGAAGCCTTCTATTCTGCATGTCAGCGCTGCGTGCACCTTGAAACGTCTCTTTAAAAGTCAGACGCTGGTAGATTCACATTCCTGACATGGCCAGAATTCCTCCAAAGATTTTTCCCCTCTCCCTCTGAGATAAAAGCGGGATGTATTAAGAAGATCTTTGAGAGGGGCTTATTAAGGACGCCACAGGGCCACACCGATACTCCGTGATGAGAAAGAATGTTTGCAGGCTTTACATTTGGCATAACCTTTTTAAAAACAACATTCAGCTGCATTTTACGTGATAGTAATCTTAAAGCCAGTTTGGCTCCCAGCATGAGCACAAATGGTTGGGAAATTATTAAAACGCATATCTCTGTAATACTCCTTAATTCTGCAGAAACTTTTGGGAGTCTCCCAAGCTGAGATTAAACAAAAATGCCAGGAGAGGGTGAAGGAGCTGGAGGAGCTCAAGACTGCGGTGGATTCCCTCAAGGTAAGGCCTGAACAACCGGATCAGTTTTTACACAAAGCAAGATCAGTCTCCCAAGATTGTTTAGATCAGGCTGATGAAGATCAGGCTGTAGAGCGATGACATCCTGCTTGCTTTGCCCAGAACTCCGCCCACAGAGCCATGGTGGAGAGCCAGAAGATGTTTGAGGATATGATACGCTCCATTGAGAGGATGAGGTCAGAGGTGAGCAAGCTGATTGGAATCAATGAGAAGGCTGCTTTCAGCCAATCCGAGGCTTTGATCGAGCGTCTGGAACAAGAGATTGATGAGCTGAAGAAAAAAGAGTCTGGCCTCAAGCAGCTGTACAGCACTGAGGACCACATCCACTTCCTGCAGGTACCACGCAGCCTTAAAGAAACTGTGTCGACAGCTGTCATATCAGGCTAACAGGATACTTATTAATAAGTGATTAACGATGACACTGTGATGAAATATTGAGCCCTTTTTAAAAAATTGGGCAGATCAATACATTTCCATAATATAACACTCACAGTACTGAGAACCCAGGCACCCACGTGTCACCGTCCACGTGACACTACCTCAAATTTCTCATTGGCTCTCATGTTTGCACCAGAACTTCAACTACCTCTGCACCCCCACTGATGACGGCTTCATACCCAGAGTGACCGTGAACCCCGACTTCTCCTTCGCGGCTGTCAGGAAAGCTGTGGCTGAGATTAAGGAGCGCCTCGAGGAGTTTGGCAGAGAGGAGCTGCTCAGGATTTCCAAGTCAGGTGTGAGCAGCACAAACGTAATGTTGAACACAAAGAGTAAAACTTCCAGGTTTCTAATCATGTATATCTTCTACTTTACAGTGAATGAGGTCCCGGTTTACACTACAGAGAGTCGAACGTTGGACAGAAGGAGCAGAGGTGAGGCTCCTATAGCAGTTTATAACCGCAAGAGGTTAATTATTATCCAAAACCACACCAGCCAAAGAATTACAGGCATCTGTGTGGGCGCATGGAGTTCACCGTGACCTAACAAAGAGATATTTCACGTGCAGGCAAAGAAATGACAGTGGACAACACTCCCCCAGAGCCAAAGACCAGAGCTGATTTTCTGAAATGTGAGTTGTTCTGGAACATAACTTGTACTCAAGTATTCATTTTTTTTACTTTTGTCAGTTTGACAGTTTGTATTTTACTGCAGCGTGCTGCTTTACTTGTGCTCATGACATCTCAGGAAAATGCGTTTCACTCATTGACTTTTTTATGGCACAGAAGTCTCTTGCTGGAGGTTAATATCCTCAATCATTTCTCTCGTATCAGTTATGGTATAAGGCAGCACTTCAAAGCAACAAAGAACATTTGACTTCTATGAAAAGGTCAAATGCAGCAGTGCAGCGCTGTGTATCAGCGTGCAGGTTATGAAACAATAAATCTGTAACTGACAAACACTTTGTAAAAACGGCATTTTTACTGGATTTAAGTCTGTTTCAGGAACTCTATGACTGGTATTTTTTAAATTCATGTACAGCATAGATATTTCAGAGGTGCACCTCACATCCATTTGAGGATCACTGCTCTGTTCTGCAGTAAAACAGCTACATTAGGCTCAACTTTTAAAAACTCGACATTGTTCACACGGTTTTGAATTGGATTCAATGTCGTCTTTCCTTCTTCAGACTTCTGCCAACTGAAATTAGATCATAACACGGCCTACAAGGAGCTTTGCATCTCTGAGAACAGCAGGAAAGTTATCCGCACCAGGGAGCCGCAGTCCTACGGAGACAACTCAGAGAGGTTTGATAGCTTTGCCCAGGTGCTGTGCCGAGAAGCTCTATCTGGAGGCCGCTACTACTGGGAGATCGAGTGGAGCGGGGAGTTCTCCATCGGAGTGGCTTATAAGAGCATCAGTCGAAAGGGCAAAGGTTCGCTCTGTCTGCTGGGCTATAACGACAAATCCTGGAGTCTGCTTTGTTCTGACTCCGGTTACTCAGCGTGGCACAACCGCGTGGACAAGCCTGCCAATGGTCCTCACTCCCCGCGGATAGGCGTGTACCTGGATCACACTGCAGGGGTGTTGGCATTTTACAGCATAGGCAACACCATGACCCGCCTGCACAGGTTTGAGACTAAATTTGTCGAGCCCCTCTATCCGGGCTTTGGAGTCGGAACGTCAGTCAGGATCTGCAACGTCAAGTGAACGCTGGCATTTGAGCTGTTTTAAAAAGATTTCTGCGAATATACACCAGTGCTTTTGGAATATCTATTTTTGCACCCATTATAAAATGTCTCAGCTTATTTTTAAGGTTTATGATGCTTCTTCCAAATGTCTATACACTTTTTTTGAACACCACATGTATTAAGCTTTGAATGTAGCTGTCAAATCATATTCTCATGGCAGTTTAACAAATATATATATATATGTATTATTGAAATACACAATTCCTGCATAGTCACACAAGAAAAGTGTTATCCTGTTTGGCGTCTGATGATATCTGCTGGATAATATGACAACATACTTTTAAACATTTTAGCTGATAATTTGCATCTATAGATTTACACAAAGTTAACAATGTCAGTTTTGTGATGTCATTAGGTTGTTCACTATTGTTATTGAATAATTCTTTTAAAATTGCACTCCTACGACAGGTATGAGTACTATGAAGGTGCATTGTTATAATTTCACTACTGTTCCAAGAATGCTGTCATTTCATTTGGTCGTGTTGTGATATTATCTAAAGGTCGTCACATGAGTTTTTCCACTTGAACTAACCCTTATTTAATTTTGTGTATGTTTACTTACATAATGGACAGCAGAGTATAATTGCTATCAAAGAGAATTGTTTTGTAACAACATTGATGCATTTAAATAAAGAACTCAAATGAACAGAGCTTTGTCTTGTGAGCCGTGTGCAGAACTGGGCCAAAGAAGACAGGGTCACCAAATGTAAACACATTACTGGATTAGAAATGGTGTGTGCGTCTCATGTTGAATACTAGCAGTGTGTTCCACATCATCCTTTGAAATCTCAAACTACACAGAGGGAGCAGTGCAGTATTGACACGCAGCTCCCCCTGCTGGTTGAATGTAAGAACTAAACCGTAAGAGAAAAAAAGGCCTCAGCCTATCAGTGACACTATTCTGCTCAGAGTTGATGTTAAAAATCCACCATATCATCAGAAAATACAATAAAGCCCAGTTTAAACGCAGTCCTTTAAAGTGCAGCAGCACAGCTCGTCTCCCATTTGGAACATGATCCAGTCCACTTGGATACTGAACCGTGAGCTGCCCCTGATGCATCCATCAGAGCGAGTGTCTGCATCAATGTTTGGCAGTGGAAAGCTCATCTACTGTTCACATTTAGCAGATAAGTGCTGCAAAATTAAAGTACTTAACTACAGCAGGATAGTTATAGTACAACACATGATTTCATGTTGGTAGTTTTTGCACAATCCTGACAGCAACAGTAACGATGATTACACACGTTCAACTCAGCTTTGAGCAGAGGAATAACATTTTGTAGTAAACCTGCAGATTAATTCAATAATAAGGTTAAATTAATGAGTCAAAAACAGATTTTTTAACACAACAGCTTTACTGGTTCCCATATTTCATGGAGTAGGTTGAGCACACAATGCTCAAAAGAAAAAAAATGCTTTAAAGTCCAAAATTTAGACATTGTAGCCCACGATGCCTCCTTTGCCAATGCACTCTCCAATGTAGAACCACATCAGCACCTCGGTGGCCACCAGCCCGTTCCTTAAAGCATCCTGCGAGGAAGCAAGGACACAGGTTTGATTTGCATTAGAAGTAACATCAAAAGTACAGGATTAGGATTCACATACACAACCTGAAATTCAAAAACATTTTATTTGCTGCTCTGGATAATTACAGGTTTAAGATGTACTTCACAGATTAATTCATCATTTGATCCATTTCTGTCAGTAATTACTAATATGATGAAGGACCTCACTAATGAAATACTGAATTAACATTTCCTGTACGACACACAATAATACAGCATCACATCCCAGGTGCTTTTTCTTATCATTTTAAATACAGATGAAGGCGTTTCTAATCACACCGCTTCTCTATAGAAAACATTAATTATTACTATTTGCACACAATAGCAGACTTATTACCATCCTCCTCCTGAAAAAGGGAACTTTTCATTTAGCCATAGCACAAACTACTGCTGTGCAATGAATGAACTCTGTAACGCTCAGCTTTAAAATCAACACATGCCAAGTTCTCACAGCATTACAGAGCAACTGAGAAGTATTATCAACAAGTTCAAAAGCCTGTCACAGGTAGGAAGCAAAAGATTTCCAGGACTCTGAAAGGAAAATTAGTAAGAAGAGTCTCAAGACCACAGAACGACTGCCAGGACATACAGTGGGGCAAAAAAGTATTTAGTCAGCCACCGATTGTGCAAGTTCCCCCACCTAAAATGATGACAGAGGTCAGTAATTTGCACCAGAGGTACACTTCAACTGTGAGAGACAGAATGTGAAAAAAAAATCCATGAATCCACATGGTAGGATTTGTAAAGAATTTATTGGTAAATCAGGGTGGAAAATAAGTATTTGGTCAATACCAAAAATACAACTCAATACTTTGTAACATAACCTTTGTTGGCAATAACAGAGGTCAAACGTTTACTATAGGTCTTTACCAGGTTTGCACACACAGTAGCTGGTATTTTGGCCCATTCCTCCATGCAGATCTTCTCGAGAGCAGTGATGTTTTGGGGCTGTCGCCGAGCAACACGGACTTTCAACTCCCGCCACAGATTTTCTATGGGGTTGAGGTCTGGAGACTGGCTAGGCCACTCCAGGACTTTCAAATGCTTCTTACGGAGCCACTCCTTTGTTGCCCGGGCGGTGTGTTTTGGATCATTGTCATGTTGGAAGACCCAGCCTCGTTTCATCTTCAAAGTTCTCACTGATGGAAGGAGGTTCTGGCTCAAAATCTCACGATACATGGCCCCATTCATTCTGTCCTTAACACGGATCAGTCGTCCTGTCCCCTTGGCAGAAAAACAGCCCCATAGCATGATGTTTCCACCCCCATGCTTCACAGTAGGTATGGTGTTCTTGGGATGCAATTCAGTATTCTTCTTCCTCCAAACACGACGAGTTGAGTTTATACCAAAAAGTTCTACTTTGGTTTCATCTGACCACATGACATTCTCCCAATCCTCTGCTGTATCATCCATGTGCTCTCTGGCAAACTTCAGACGGGCCTGGACGTGCACTGGCTTCAGCAGCGGAACACGTCTGGCACTGCGGGATTTGATTCCCTGCCGTTGTAGTGTGTTACTGATGGTGACCTTTGTTACTTTGGTCCCAGCTCTCTGCAGGTCATTCACCAGGTCCCCCCGTGTGGTTCTGGGATCTTTGCTCACCGTTCTCATGATCATTTTGACCCCACGGGATGAGATCTTGCGTGGAGCCCCAGATCGAGGGAGATTATCAGTGGTCTTGTATGTCTTCCATTTTCTGATGATTGCTCCCACAGTTGATTTTTTCACACCAAGCTGCTTGCCTATTGTAGATTCACTCTTCCCAGTCTGGTGCAGGTCTACAATCCTGTTCCTGGTGTCCTTCCAAAGCTCTTTGGTCTTGGCCATGGCAGAGTTTGGAGTCTGACTGTTTGAGGCTGTGGACAGGTGTCTTTTATACAGATGATGAGTTCAAACAGGTGCCATTCATACAGGTAACGAGTGGGGGACAGAAAAGCTTCTTACAGAAGACGTTACAGGTCTGTGAGAGCCAGAGATTTTCCTTGTTTGAGGTGACCAAATACTTATTTTCCACCCTGATTTACGAATAAATTCTTTACAAATCCTACCATGTGGATTCATGGATTTTTTTTTCCACATTCTGTCTCTCACAGTTGAAGTGTACCTCTGGTGCAAATTACTGACCTCTGTCATCATTTTAAGTGGGGGAACTTGCACAATCGGTGGCTGACTAAATACTTTTTTGCCCCACTGTAAGTTAATGATGTAGCCAAGTCTGGAATTGTAGTGCAATCACTGAAAGCCTGCACGGGAGCGCACTTTGAGGCTGCACACCAAAACGCCACTTCTGCAGAAGAGACACTTCAAGCCAGACTGAAGAATACTAAAGACAACCTGGAGAAGATGATGCATACTGTACCATGTCTTTTGGTCAGATGAGACGATACTATGGTTACTGACAAGCTGCTGATGTTTGGGGAAAGACAGCAGAGGTGTACAACCCAAGAACACCGTCCCCACAGTGAAGCATGTTGGTGGGAGTATTATGCTGTGGGGATGGAAATCTTATCATTGTGGAGGGAATCATGAAGAAAGACGGATATGTTAAGATTTTGAAAGAAAAGTAGTCAGCAGCAAAACTTTACGTCTCTGCTGCTGCTTCCAACAGGACTACGACCCAAAACACACGTTGCTCCTGGTGAAGGATTTTCCCCTGAAGACCAAAGTGAACATTACTGACTGGCCTAACATGAATGCTACTGAAAATCTGGGGGCTGAACTGAAATCCATTACATCTGGAGAAGCTTGAGAGATTTGCCAAAGAAGAATTGGCTGGATTTGCTCAGGAGACGTGTGAGAGATAAAACACAACAACAAACCACTAAAGGCTGTGTTAAAAACTTTCAAGTTTGTCCTCATCCATGTACACGCGCACACTAAATTCAGTGCATTACTGTGTGTACAACCACAGCTTTTATAATAATCCTGAATATTTTCTTAAGACAACAACAATTTGCCCACAGTCTGAAAGAGGTTTTCTTTACTATCAGAAGCTAGAAATGTGTCCTTATTTCATGATGTCCTACAGCTACTGCTTTGTTAATGAATCCAGGAGATGACAGACGATGTAAAGTCAGCACAAGAGGCTTTGGTTGGAATTAATAATGTGACATCTGCTGTGGTTAAGATGCACGACCACGGCCGCAGGTTTAATTTAAAAAAGACGTGGACGTGTTTTTTGTTGTTGTTTTTACATAAACAACAATGACCTGTGTCTTAGATTAATACGAGTACCTTCACTGTGGTTTGACCGAGACGTCCCGTCTGGAACCCCTTGATGATGTTTGTGGCCCCCTCGATGGCTTTAGGGATTTCAGCGGGGGCAGGTGGGACAAGCTCAACACGCGCATAGTACCAAAAGTTTGCCAGGCGAGGTTTGGAGTAGGTGACAGCGGCTGAAAGAGAGAGAGAGAGAACATTAAATGCTGCTATCGATTCGCCATCCTAGCTGCAGAGCTTCTGAGATGTTAGCAGGTAGCGTTAGCCATCAGCTACGCGGATTGTGTTTGCTGAGAGCAAACCAAATAAACCGATGTACCTGCTTATCCACAACACATGTCAAAACAACAAAAACACAGCATATCAACGTCAAAGGCCTTCTACGTCTGAAAGCGTCAATTAACGTTACACCTGCTTCATTCAACTGACGCCCGGGTCACAGTGCCGCTGACAGCGTCGGCCTACTGAAGTCTTCTCACCGAGGAGAAAACTGCCTACCCCAGCCTCCACTAATGGACCCGTCCAAATAACAGACTAGCTTACCGTTAACCAGGGTGGGTACTTTAGCAACCAACTTCTGCACTGCCTGTGCCATTTTGAGGCGTTTGTGATGTTAACTATTCCCCGTCTCTGCTAAATGTCACCTCCAATAGAAGGACCCTCGACTGCAGTTGACCACACAACTGCCTGAAGAGAAACCGCAGGAGTCTTCTTCTTTATATTGTTTATTGGCGGTTGGCAAACAGCAAAATGGTGCATTACCACCACCAACTGGTGAGGAGTGTGGACTGAAATAAAAAAAAAATCAAATCCTCCCGAACAAATGAGTCTGACTTAAAAACCAAAATATCACCTTATAACTTTCACTACTCGAATTCTTACGAAATAAATCAACCAGTTTGACTTTCAAGCTTTTTGATCAGCTGTCTTCTTTCAGCATCATATTTCTGACAATGCATTAAAACATGTTCTATTGTTTCCTGTTCTCTACTGCAGTCACACTCCCTGTACGGAATTTCTCTATTAAAAGCAACGTGTTATTCAGACCAATGTGTCCAAATCTAAGTTGAGATATAACCTTCGCCTCTCTCCTGTTCCTTCCTGTGCTTCTCATTTCTCCTGTTTTCCTTTGGATTTTGTAAAACCTTCGCCAGTATACACTGATAAACCAGTGTATACTGGTTTATCAGTGTATACTGATAAACCATCACTGGTCCTTTTCCTTACTTTGATATTAAATTCAGGAACAGTAAATGCTATCCCGCTTTGGTTGGCTGTATTCTTTGATGCATCTGTGTAGATTTTGACATAACTGTAATACTGATTAATATATGTCTGGCTACGGGCTCCCTTCTTCTTGCCAGCTTTTATTCGCGGTTGGCAAATAATGAAATGTTGCATTACCTCCACCAGCTGGCATGGAGTGTTGCATGCCCCGGTCCAGGTCTGCCAGGAGATCCTCCAGGACATCCAACCATCGTCTTTTTAGGAGCCCTGGCACTGTCAGCCATGCATACAAACAGGTGGGGCCATATAAAGTACTGAGTAGGCCTACTGCTGACAATGTACATCTCACAACCATGAACTGCTGCAGCACTGCAGGAGAGGCAGACAGCAGACAGACAGAGAATGCATTAACCCACCTAGTAACACACACACATGTAATGAAAGCAGCTAACACTCATAAACATGGGCATATCGCTCATCACTGTTAAAAATGAAACAAAAACTTTACAAAAACACTTGCTACCAAATGCTGAGTTCATCCACTGCTGACATAGACCTGCCACATTAGGACAACAGGTTGACTTTTTAGTAGAGTCTGTGTAGACTGTGTTAAACCCACAGCAGCAGATGGTTAACCACATGATTTTATAGCAGCCTGTTCACCCAGACCTGACCTACAGGACGCACCGCTCGCCAACTCTAACCTGAAGGTCTTTGTGGACAATTTGACATCACGCAACCTGGACACCAGTTAAAATGAAGTAGGCCATGTAGCGATCACAGAACACAGGCAAACACATGGGGTGATACATGATTTTAGACACATTATGGAAACAACAGTTTAGGATGTTTTCTACAGAATATCTTTTAATTTTTCTTTTGGGAATAAACTAAAACCCAACACCACCTTGGTCACACACTGGCTGAGTCGCAGTACGTGACCAGGAGTTGCCAGGCTGTTGTGGCTGTGTATGGTCCTTCCACGTGTTACTGAGGCCCCTATTTGTTAAAAGAATAAACCGTTTAATTGCATATAATCTTCAGAATTCAGTAAATGACACCCAACAAGTGTCAGTAGCAGAATAAGCTGTCCGGCATTGGCAGAGAACATTCGACGAGTTTTTCATGGCCACAGCCCACATACTCAACTCTGCTGCTCAACCCACATTTTCCTTACAAATGTGACACCATTGAAGGGGAAATAAACGGGCTTTCCAGCAGTAAGACCTTTATAGCCAAGAAGCATAGTTACAACAAAGAAAAGACTGAACAAACACAAATTGCCTCAATTTTTGTGCTCACTGGGACCAGTGAAACATTCATTTTTGTCTGAAGCAGACGTGGACAAGTTTCCCCTCAGGGAAACTACGACTCCAGCAGCACAACACCAGGTCACACTAAATGCAAATAAGAAAAAATACCAAGCAGGTAAAATAGTTCAGATCCAAATATCAGCAGCTCACCAGCTTAATCTGTCAGGCTGCACCGTGTGTTTATGGCTGTGGTGACAGAGGTATTTTTAACCTTATGTTGAGGCCACGGCTCCGATTCTCATGATGAGCGACGGTGTCCCTGTGTTGGTGATGTTCCTGCATCAGCATAATAGTAAGAATAATAATAATAATGATGATAGCAGGGCAATTACTTTTGTCCCCACAGGTAAGTTTGGATAGGTTCTTTCCATTCTCACAGATACTTTCACAGCACTGCAGCTGGAGTGAAATTGGAGTCAGTAACGGGAAATTCCTCAAAAAATATTATTTGTATTTAATTATTTTTATTCTTTTATTTGCTAACTCTACTGCTGTTAACGCACATTTATTACCATTTCCGATTTTAGGGATGCTTAGCTGCCTGAATCTCAACCTTATCCTTCCATCCTCTATCCGAACGATCCTGAGGAAGTATAGCTGTAAAAAAGAAAAACCCCAAAACAAACTTGATAGATCCTGAGGAAGTCAGTATTGCAAAAGGTGGAAAACGGTCCGTGTCTGGACTCTGCTGATTTTACAAACTGCAACAATGGTTTTGTGTTCTCAGATGCATGTCTCCTGTTTTGTAGACGTTCTGTGATTACATGATGGGCACAGACGTCAGCATCAGATAAATTATTGGGAAGCAGCGGTCATGTGCTCCTTATTCTGTTTGTTTCCCGGCAACATGAAACCGATGAGCTGAAAACCTGTTATATCACCTGCAGCTTCTCTTACAAATGTAACTGGACTGCCAGTGCTGCGAACATGTCAGCGGCCAGGGCAGAGAGCCATGCCCACTCCCTTGTCCGGTGCATTCTGGGAGTTGTAGTCCTACTCACCTAGCCAAAACCCCAACAATGCTAAGAAGCTTTTATGTGGTTGAATTTGTCCATTTCATAAGTCTGGTGGTGCAAACACACAACACCAATTCTTTTTTTCCTTTTTTTTTTTTTTTTTTTTTTTTTAAACAGACCCTAATCAACAGCTTTTCAATGGACACAGTTGTACAGATTTCTTAGCTTAAGCCTTAAACCCTACAGCAAGCTATCGATATTAGGTACTTATACTTAGCATAGAAAAAAGTCTGTTTTAACCAACGTGTGCGGACCAAGATTGGTCCACGTTATGCTCAACGTGTGTGTTGCCTTCTGACGAGCTCTGGGGGACAGATACATAATATCGGATCAGCCCATCTCTAGCACAGTTTGAAAAAATGCAAATAAAGTTGAAATATTTACAATGATTTTTATTTACAGAACTTTAACAAAAAAAATTAGGCAAGTTTTTCAAGTAAACCAAACAGCCTTCTCTGCTCTTTCCTCCATTTCCCTTCACATTCTCATATCCAATCTTTCTTTTCTTTCTTGGTTGCAGCTGGTCCTCATCCTCCTGGACGAGTGGTAGAAGACCTCCGTCCTAACACCTCATCCATGAGGGAAACCAGGGCCATGTAGCAGCAGTGGGCTTCCCACTCACTCCCACGCCTGACGCTGGATACTAGCAATCGTAAAGGCAGAGGAAAGGTGGCAGCTGACAAACGCAGCAACAGTGCAGGTTTATATGAATACGTTCAATAACGTCTGGTTAAAAATTCAGATTTGAATACTGCTGTACATACTTTGTTTTTCTTTCTTTTTTTTTGACACTTATTTGTTTAGGAACATTTTTATGCAACAAGATAAAATAAAAAAATAAAAAACAAACAGTATGAGGTCATGGGACACAACAGGCAGCTTAGAATACAGTTGAATAAACATTAAAAACAACAGATGATGAAATCATTTCTGATAGTATGATGTCATATTTTGACCAACACAGTGCATCTGTTTACATTTCAAAACCCATCATTCTAAATATTTTGTTAATGTGACATTGCTGTTACATGTTGGTACGAACATATGGCTTCTTCATACCGCAGTCTTCGTGAATGATGCGGTGTGCAGCTGTGGGCCATAAGCACACTGGTTCAGCTTCACATGGGAGACCTTTATGTGGTCACAAAGTGGTGAATGGCTGCCTCCCTCCACAGGGAGACTGTCATGGTTCAACCATCCTGGAATCACAAACATGACAGAATGAAAGATTTATTCATTAACTAACACACAAAGCCCACAGGCACACAAAGCCCACAGGCACACAAAGCCCACAGGCACACAAAGCCCACAGGCTAATACAATCTGCTCACCTACCGCCAAATGTACCAGATGACTTTCAGCTGTCAGTATCACACTTCAGGTGCAGCATTACCTGCTTCAGCTGGAGTTTTTATAGGAACGTGTTGTTTCCCTGACAACCTTCCTCACTGCCAAACACAGAAAAGTCCATTAAAATTAACGTCAGTTATAGTGAGTGTATAGATCCGTGACAGGCGTTTGTTTCTTGACGAGTCTACAAACACCTTGGACACACAACACGTTTGAGTATTTTCCTTTAAACCCATGCTTCAGCGACAGCTTTCACTACATTATATGTCGACTACTTCCATTGTTCCTCCTTTTGTTTTCATTGTATATATCACACTCACTAAAGCCGTTTGTCTGTGCATTTAAAACGATATAATCTAATCCTTCCATCATTGTTAGCGAGCACATAAAGACTGTTGAGTGTAATCTAGCCCATACAATACAAATGTATGTAGGCATGATGGAAATGGACTGTATGAATACCAGAAACACAAATGATAAAATAATAGTGGTTGTTCATGTTCCCACAATTTAGTGTTTGACTGACAACAATTTTGACTGGTAAATGCATAAAAACAATAACGGTTTCTTTGAAAAGCTAAATATCAGTTCTGATGGGACCACAGATACTGACCTCCACGACCCCCCCTTGGTTGAGCTCATCTTTGGCGTCGTTACAGGCCAGGAGGATGCAGAAGATCCTCCGCTTTCGCAGTAAGACCTTCTGCCAGTGGAAGGGCAGGTGCCCTGAAAAACTGAGTCCATGCAGTGATGTTTATGACCTAAGGGGGAGCTGTGCCTCTCAGTTCATGCCCC